TCCTGCTCATATTCGAACTCGACCGAGACATTGTTAAGACTGAACTGTGTAGAAAATTTCATCGCGATTGGACTCTCCTTTCAAAAGTTATCGTGTTAACGGCCGGACGGACGGCCGGACGGACGGACACACTGACCGATTCTAGAGTGTACTCACTTTTTGAGTACACAAAAAAGCGTGCATTTGAAGAAACATAAATATATTTGTGTTCATGGAAATGTGATCTTCGAAAGAACATTTTCTGATCTGCTTTACTGGAAAAAATTTTAATCACGAACCAGAATGCTCACAAAAAAAGATTGCATTTTGAGTTTATTCAATGTTGAAAATTTTTCATAGGCAAGTCACCTTAGTCCCTGAAAGTGAAGACAAATTTTGGCAGATTCAAGTTAATCTGACTTAGATTTTCTGTACAGTTCTTCTTTACTTTTAATGAAGGGTCTTCACTTCAAATCATTGTTGATTTATGATCCAATATTAATTATACGAAAGTTCATGTTTCCTTGAAAACGTTTTCTAAAACTGTATGACTAACGAAATGTTATTATTAGCGCCCGAAGGCGGCAAATACTATTGATATTTGTACAAATATTATAATGCATGGCTCAAATCTATTAATCTGATGGAAGGATCAAAATGTCATTGAGCCTACACACTGGTCTACGATGTGTGAGTCTAGGGCCGGCTTAAGTCTACTTAAGCCTTGTGGCTCCGCCGCCTATGCTAGGTTCTTATTGGATTGAATCAAGAACCAATCGTGTGCTGAAGTGTATATGTAATGTACTATTTGAAACAAAAGTAAACAATTCACGTTTCGTTCTTATTCTTATTCTTTTTTTTCTTGAAGACAAATCAATTGTTGTACTTTTTTAAAAGATGAAATGAAGTTAGTTGTATGTGTTATCATCGACAAAGAAGTCGATGCTTTACTTCTTGTTGAACAAAACCTTGGCCGTGGTTATTGGTTTCCATTTGACGAAATCAAACAGGGTGAAACACGAGCTCTTGCAGCTAAACGAATAACTAGCAGAGTCAGTCTATAATTGTTTGTTTTATTTTTGACTTCTTCGTTGTTTATTTAGTTATGTCCGTATGATTTTGAACTTGTCAATGTACTTAAGATTCGTTGTAGTGATTTATTACCATGTTTACCCAGTACACAAACATATTATCTCATCACCAAGGGGCGACTGGTAACACTTTGATTTTATATTAATAAAAAGATCTTTTAAGAAAAATGTATTAATTTATCAGGCACGTGCCAATGGTACTAACTTAGTGAATTCAATTTGGATGAATTTTGAACGAATGAAAACAGCTATTAAAAATCGAGAATTACTTGGGCTTGAACCATATTATTTGTTAAAGAATATTCTAGATCGTCAACAACTCAATGGTTGGGGTAAATAAATCATTTTTTTCCTATTTATTAATCAATTTATATATTTGTTTTTTTTAGATGACTTTATATCCGGTGGACAAATATTCGAAGAATCAATACTTCAATTTATTGATTGTAAACAACCTGATCCAAATAATCAATTAATTGCATCACCACAAGAACAACTAATGGGTTCAGCCAAATTTAATACAAAATGTAAGTTTAATTCTTATTAATTAAAAAAGAAAAAAGAATTAATTGCTTTATTTTAGTACAAGAACGTATTTTTAAAGAATTTTATTCATATACATTTCCTAGTGAATACATGAGCTTTCAAGCATTTGTTGAAGCAATGGATAATAAATTATCCACAGCAGAAAAAACAAAAATACAAGCTTATTTTCGTGCTTTTGATGCTCAACAAAAATCTTATTTAACTTATTCGGATTATTTACTTGGTTTGTTTATTTATTTCATTACTGATTAGAGAGAAACATTTTTGTTTTTCGTTTCTTAGGATTAGCAGCAATGGATCCAAGTACTTCACATGGAGGTAACATTTAAAATCGTTTTATTCATATGAAACTGATGATTTTAGGAGCTCCTGCCGAACAACGTTGTCGATATATATTTCGTTTTTATAATGTAAAAAATAATGGAAATATGTCCATAGAAGAATTTCGGTATGCATTCCATATTGGTTTATAAAGGAGAGGGAGACGCCTCAGAAGAAGTAATTTTCGAGAAAAACTCGCGTTCCAGATTTATATATATTCTGATAATCCTTACCGTGGGTTTTAACCTGTCATAATATTTTTTTTCGTCAAACAAAGAAAGTTAGTTCATACATGAGAAACCATAACTACAACTTTGACATGTTATATTCTTCTAAGAACATTATGGCATATCCTCATTTACGTCATCTAATAAAGCTTGACGAATTGTGTGAAAATATTAGGTAACTTGTTTCGAATCGAGACAGTTACGAAATCAAAAATATTGTCTTTTGGTTTTCTCAAAATTAGTTTTTTTTGTTCGATTATACTGTTTGTGCAGGGAAACTTTTTTAAATAATGATTCAGTATCAAAATAGTAATATTTTTTATTACACAGCAGACAATTGAGGCTGGGTCGTAACAGAGTCTAATTTTTGAATCTCTCTTTTTTTAACCTGAAATAAAAAAACTTAGATCTTAGACTTTAATTACAAGCTTTTTGTTCACTGATTTGAGGACTTTTGGAAAAGCTTTTTTAAAAAAATAAACAATGAGAAATTCAAGAATTGGGTTCTATTATGACCTATACTCCACAATTTCAAAACTACCGTGACATGTTAGGTTGTATCCTCATTTTGAAAACCTTCTCGCGTAAAAGGTATTTTTGACTAATGTATTGACTAGAACTCTTGAGTATGTTGGAAATTTTGGGGAAGTATTTTACCCATAATTTATTCTAGCCAAAACTAAAATTCACCGAAATTTAAGTTAAAATCGGATGAAAAATGAAAAGATTTATGCAGGAGAGAGGTTTGTTAATGATCAAAAAACGAATTAAATGATCATATATATATATGCTAATTGGAGATTATTATATCTTTTTCAATGAGTTTTATCATTTTAATAGAGAGCTTCATAGTGACGTTCAAAATCTCAAAGCTGGCAAAGCAAATAATGATGCTCCGCCATACAGTGAAGTTGTATCTGCTTTTAAGTATGTATGATATTTTTTGTGGATGTTCTTCAATAATAAACACATATATATATATATGTTCTAGTTCTTTTAACGTTCAAGTTAATAATCTATTACAATTAACTGATTTTTTAAATTCTGTTGGTCAATTGAAATATCGTGGAACATCTGTCCTTTTTCGACTTAGTACAAATGTGCAAGATTTATTACGAATGTGCAAGTAAAAAAGTGTTTTTTTTTACTTCATATCTTCGTTTTATTTTGAATTCATTTAAATAAATTTAGACGATATAAAGATCTGAAAACAGATAATCTTAATGATCGAGGTTAGAAAAAAATTAAGTTTTGAATATAAATAAATAAATAATTTTCTTTTTTTGATATTTTTCAGCTCAGACAAATATAAATTATGAAATAGCGGATCATTGTGTAACATTAAAAAAATCCGGTACACTTTCACAAGTCGAATCATTACGTTCAATGAATCGTAGTGATCAATTAAGTACAACAACAGAAAATGCATTAAAAAATTTACCTCGATCACCATCAGAAGAAATATTTGATCGAGTAAAGAAATATTCTTTTTCTTTTCTGTTATTTTTTGTTTTATTTATTTATTTTGTTTTTTATGATAATAGAGAACAGTAGCAACAGATACTCAAGATTTATTACGTTTTTTTGAAAAACGTGATCAAACAAAAGATGCTTTAATGTGGACACCGAGTACATTTATAAATCTGGCAAAAAATGTTGTTAGTTTATGTAGAGAAGTCAGAGACATATTTCGACGTGAACCACGTTGTCTTAAGTTAGCATCACCATGTTATGTACTTGGTGATATACATGGAAATTATCAAGATTTAGTTTGTTTTGAAAAGTCTCTATGGCGTGCAACACCACTTTTATCGCCAGCATCATTTCTTTTTCTTGGTGATTATGTTGATCGTGGCATTCATGGACTTGAAGTAAAGATTTTGAAATGAAAAATTCGAATATTTTGCTTTTTGTTTGGAAAAAATTGTTCTTTTAGGTTATTATTTATTTATTCGCGGCAAAATATCAATGTCCGAAAAAAGTTTTACTTCTTCGTGGAAATCATGAAATAAGAAAAGTTCAACAAATGTTTAGTTTTTACAAGTAGGTTATCATCTAAATGAATTTTGTTCTTTGTAAAGACTTTGTTACATTGTTGCTGAGATATAAATCATTCTGAATTTTATAGACATTGAAATCATCGAAAACATTTTTGTATGTGAGGAGATAAAACAGAAAACTGATTTTGTAGAAAAATATAAATCAAATTTTGATTTTCGCAAAGACCGATATTATTGAATAAGAAGATCGTAATGAACCTCTATTACGACAGTCTTTCTGTTGTGTTAGACTACACGTTTCACTACAACTTGTTTCGTTTAGAACATTTTCTTATTGTTGGTGTTTCTATGGAATATCCTTTTTTTTTTTGATAAATTGAGAAGCTTATGTAAAACGCATACTTAAGTATAAAAAACTGTTTTCGATTTGCAGTCAAAACCAATAATTCGCTTCTTTTAGTTATGCGTATAATCGATTGTACGACTTGTATTTTCTTTTACCGAACTTATAAACATAGGTATTCAGATAAATTAATAGAAGTATATAAGATATCCAGCAAATCATTGAACAAACAAAAAAAATTGATTATCCTCTTTATATTTTGTTCAAATCGGCTTATACTTTTACTTTTGATAAAAAAAAAAGGATGTTCATAACGCATATACATAAGAGGAACACAACATAAAACTGCTTTGATGTATCATCACAGATGGGTTGAAAAAAAGAACTGTAACTTCCAACGAGTAATGAGAAACAAATATAGCAGTTTTTTCAGCAAATTCTTGTCTGTTTACGATTGAAGCTTCCAGTTACAAAATACACAACACATTGAGTAAGGCGACCTATATCTGAGATATAAATATGAGAGTAAACGACACTAGTGTAAGGAATTAATCGAAAAAATTAACCTTCGTTTATTTTTGTCTAAACGAATAAGTATATATTGTTTCCTTCGCAATTCATGAAAAGTTGCAGTTTTTTACAATGTTTCTCTTATGAATTTGATCTATGAATATTCTTCTATCAGTGGTAAAAGTATCGATCCATTTGGTTAAAATATGGTGGAGATATTCAATGTTTTGTTTGTTGAGTAATTTAGTGAACATTCTATATATTAGAAATACCGGTATTCTCTTCCGCAAGCTAAAGACAACACCATTGATCAGATGCTTACGAGAGAACTTCTTCAGGTGCCCTCTTCCGATTTCAATGATTTTTTTGCCTATAGATACTGCATAGTATTCTAATAAAAACCGAAAAAATGCTTTGGATTTCTATTGATATTTGACTAAACTATCGAGTTTTTAATAGATCTATTTTCTTGAAGTGTCTGTAGGACTCCAGATCTTTGAAAAACTCATATTTCCGAATTTCGATATGAAACTTAATGCACATAAAGAACTCAATTAGAATAGCTTTCATACCAAAATTCAGAAGTTTTGAACAATCTCTTCGAGGTATTCAGACATTCAAGAGAGAGACCCTTTTCAGTGGCTAGTATATACAACATGCATGTTTTTGAAAGCTTTATATCGCGAAAACTTTATTCAAAACTTCTGAATTGATTTTATGGACGATAATCTAGCTCAGTTCTCAATATGCACAAACTTTCAGATCAAAATTCGAAAATACGAGTTTTCCGAAACCTGGGGTCGTTATAGGAACCTTCAGAGAATATATGTATTAACCATTCGATAATTTTGTCAAATATCAATAGCAATCCAAATTATTTCTAGGCTTTTTATTAGAACATTATGTAGTATCTGTAGGAACAAAATCATTGAAATCATAAGGGAATAGATGAAGAAATTCTTTCATTGGTGCATTACCTTGAATTATTTTTAAAATTTAAAGTCTTACGTAAAGAGTGAGTTTACTTTTTACTTATCAAGTGCTTATTGTACTTGTTTAACGTCTGCAACATTCGTATGTCGTCATGAAATTTTCTATTTCTAGAGAATGCCTCGGAAAATTTGGTGATATACTTGGTAAAGAAGTATGGGATGCAATAAATGGAGTTTTTGATGTATTACCACTTGCTGCAGTAATTGATGATAAAGTATGCATATAGTTCATATAAATATCTTAATTAATATTTCTTATTTGATATAACAGATTCTCTGTTTGCATGGTGGTATTCCAAGTCCTACATCATGTCCAGGTGATTTTGTTTCCACTGTTAATGATATTATTGTACCATTGAGTGATCCAGAAAATGAATCACCTTTAGCATGGGAAATCATGTGGAACGATCCATTTTCAATTGATACAAATACGGTTGCTCAACTACCCATTGGTGCTAATGGTGGTTTTTTTAATAATACACGAAGAAGTACTGGAAATTATTTCACATGTGAAGCACTTATGACTTTTCTTGATAAGAATAATTTTACACATGTTATACGTGCTCATGAAGTACAACAAGTTGGCTTCAAGGTATGTCAAACATTCTTGTTTATGTCTTTAACAATTATATATTTTTGTTTCTTCTCGAAAAAATTCCAGGTACAATTAAGTGGCCGTCTATTAACTGTTTTTTCATCATCTCACTATTGTGGTGGAACAAATGAAGCCGCAACTGTACTTGTTGATTCAGCAAAATTACGATTGATCAGACTTGATACAGCATAAAAACACCGAGAAAAAAGACCAATACTTTTATTCCTATACTTCCGCGCTGTGATTTAACCGATTTATCTCTGTCTTCTTTTCTTATCTTTATTCATTTATGATGTAACAGTTAGAAGTTTCTTCTATATTGCACGCATATTTTGTTTGTTTGTTTTGAATCCCCTATTTTTGTACTTGAGCTTATTGCACATGTTTTTTCTTGTTTCTTATCAAAGGAGGTTATTGGTATTTGATGGTCCCACCAACTGTCAGCATCACCTGTCTGATAAAATACTTCTACAGAAAAGAGAAAAACAAGACCCAAATATAATGAAAATAATCAAGAAAAGCACATAAAAATTTTCCTTACTTTTCTTTGATGATTTTTGCTGTGCTCATATTTATTGAATGCTACCATATTATGTCTGAGTGTATGTGCATATATATGCGTCTGTCTTTTGTTTGTGACGGGTGACTTATTCTTTCATGTTTGTTCTTCTTTTTTTGTTGTGTGATCATTTTCGTGCATATGAACGCGCGCACACTTGTATGAAATTGTATATGAAATAAGAAATCTAGGTGGGTTAAAAAAAGCAACATGAATGAAATATTTATTTACTAACACAGGTCTTTTACCCTCATGAAATATACATATAATATCAATCACGTATGCAACATTCATGAATGATCTACAAGAAATTATAGTTTTTTTTATGGTGTTTGTCTCATTGTATTAGAGTTCAGGGGTTACGAGAAATGCCAATAACCAGAATTGAACTAGTGATTTCAATTTGGCTTAGTAAAAACAAAGAAAGTTGGATTCACTTTCAACTTCTAGAATGTCGTTTTGCAACTAGTGACTAATAATAGTATACAGAATAGTTAATGTCACTTTTACTTTAGAAATTTCTATATTTTATTTTTCGAGTTTGCTCATGTCTTTTATATTTTGAAAAAATAATTTCTTCGAAAAATAAAATGTACAAGAAAATGAGTGAGAAAATCATGACTATTAATCAGATGTATAATCTTTTCGTTGATAAAGAATCATCTATTTAATAACCAATTTTCCATACATTAATGATATCAGTATACAAAACTAAATTACAAGAGTAAAACCTATTTTTTCACTCATAGTTTAGGTATAAGTATGGATATTATCTGCTTATTTCTTTGTTATCAAGACTAGAACTTAAAATAGTGAATGAGCAAAAGTTGTTGTGTACTGAAGTCAAACCAGCATGAGAAAGTATAGATGACCTTAGAGCATACTTAAAAGGCATTATTCTCAACTGGTCAGTCACTTTTCGCTTGAGACTATTGCCATTTAATGGCTCATTATGAGTAGTGAAAAACTTTGTTTTTGTTTGGTTGTCCAATCTTCGCTTGCTGAATTATAGGCATTTAATTCTACTTCCTCTATGAGCATAGGATCGGTGAGCACCTGGATGACTGAATTTTGAGCTGCAATTTTGTCTATAGATGTCTCACGGTCACTAGAAACAACATGGATTTGAGTCAGAACGAACGTATTCTTGCTAAGATATTTATATTATAAAGAAACGCTTGTTTTGAACTATGCTTCAAAAGAAGGATGCTTCTATGACAAACTGACGTCTCAATACGGATATGTTTATCCTAGCTCAAACTTTAGAGGTCTTTCGAGTAACCATAAGACTTATCTATAGACAAAATTTCAGCTAGAAATTTGATCACTTAAGTTCTCTGCGATTCTTTACTCATTGAACAACAATCAATAAAAATGTTTCAAACTCAACAGACGAAAATCGAAAAACCAAATCAAAATGGAATACATTTTCGAATTATTTACGAAAGGAATCAGTAGTGCTATATTGCCAAGGGGATGAATCAATACCATCTTCTATCTCTCGTGAACAAACGTTTTATTACATCTTGGTGAAATTTTCTCAAAGAAAAACATACCATAGAAGCTTCAACATTTTAAAAATTCAGTTTAGTACTCTCACTTTGCTGATATTTGCATTCATGACACCAGAATTCATGGTCGAAACTGTATCCTTATTTTTCCCTGATTTGATTCTTTTCTTATGAAATATAGGATTCAAAAAATAAGAAAAATCAACTGTTTTGCAGAAAAAAGACTTTCTATTATCTGAGATGTTTCGTGCTTCAAACTCCCAAATGATGGAAAGGAAAAGCGCTAAGTACGACCAGAACTGAAAAAGTCGATTTTTTCAGCATCATGGGAAATTTTGTAGAGTTGGGTTCTTGTCATTTTTTTACAAGTATATAAGAATGAATCGATATTTGAACTTTCTTAATAAAGTTGTATAGACTTTTGAATAAAACAAGCAAATTGAATGTTTTAAAATTTTCTGCAGTCGACCTCTGCTTATGTTAATCAGTCTTTTAGCGCACCCTCGCTTAAGTATGTCCGAAAAAACTCGTAATTGCATATCACATCATGAAAGAGGATAAGCTCTGAATGTTTACCTTGTAAGAAAGAATAGTTGAAGGATATATTTACCTGGACAAAGTATAATAGTCATGAATTCGTTCGTATTTTCTAAACTACGTATGAACTGTTTTTCTAATGCATGACCAAAATTCATTTATGTCAACATTCTAGAATAGCATTTCGATCGAAAATAGGCTATTTCAACAGATTTCTACAAGCCTAATTAGCTCAAGTGATTATTTCTCTTGTGTGGATGGCCCTTTAGTCGATATAGCGACCTTTTGTCAATCCGAAACAAGTGTGATAACAGTATAAAATCATCTAAATTCAAATCTGTCACTTATTCAAACTATATGTAATTTCAATCGTACGAACATGCAGCATCTCCTGATTCTGGTGATTGATAGGTTTTGCTTCAGTGATATTGGAGATATATTAAAGCAAGAATGTTAACTACACACCCAGAAGTTGTGAAGTTTTAGGTTAGGTATCAGGTAGATTTTCTTCGACTTGCTCGGTTCACCTATGTGGTTCATCAAGCGGAACAAGCTGAAATGACTGTACTACATTCATGTCTTATTAGTTTCCATAGTGTCAATGAAACATTATGCTCTACAAGTTTCATGCTTTATATTCGACCTATTTATCAGGGAACCCGTTGTTTAACAAACACTTTCATCTATACTATCAACTGTTGATCTGTTTAGACCATTTGCATGCCTTGTGCTCTAGAAAGTACTTGTATCACTTTGAATTCGACTACTCTGAATTTCCTAAGTAAGGTGCACTCTAATTCAGCCTAGACTTATCATTGCAGACTTCATCTAGTCATCGTTTACGTTAGTATTGAAACATTTTATTCATTCCAAAAGTAGTTTTGAAGTTATATGAGCAAAGAAAGTGGTCAAATATCTCCGTAGTGTTTTAGTCGTATTCTAAGTCGATTCTTTCACAGTCGAATTTTTGAGTTTCAAAACATAAGAAAAAAACAATAGTAGATGCGACCTGAAACTGCAATTGAGTATTTTTTGAAGAAACTATCGGAAAATTGATTTACACTGACGAATAAGATTGGTCGATTTATCATGGTAGTGGTGATATTGAGCTTTTATGTAAGCATATCAGTTGAACATAACTACAAGAGTGTATGACTATCTGCGTTAAGTTTTTTCCAAGCACCTATGAAAATCAATAGTTTGCTATTAGAACGAACTGGAGAAAGTGAAGAGTGTTATTAAATATTCGAAATCTAATAAAGACAAGTCAATGAATAATAAACGAATGGCATACAATAATTCCATCTTTTATAGAAGCTAAGTCTTAGTATATTCTAAAGTTTCTTTGAATTCTTCATTAATAATCACGATAGGTGACAATCTCTTTAAAAGACAGTGTATTTTTAGAACCATATATGACAATATCACTGTTGAGTATCACCAAAGAAAGAATAATGCATCTGTGACAAATAATCCTCTTAATGAAGCCATTTACCTATGCTACAATACCAGCTGGAATTTAAATTTATTCGATCATCAATAGTAGCAATGGCATTAACGGAAACAATCCGATCACGTTTTCCGAACTGTGGGAGCTTTTTGTAGACTATAACAGCTCCATTTATGTACCTAATACATAGAATTATCGAATCCAAAAATTTAATCTGTATAGTCCGATCAGAATAAATGTAGCTTTGGCAGCACTCTTTCGGCCGACTGCTATCTATTTTGATGATAGTGGAACTATCTATTTGTGTGAAGAATGACCATTCATAAAATTTCTATTCACTCTGTCCTGTAATCAATCACTATAAATCTTTTTAGTGTGATGTCTTGCTATGTGAACGTGTGCAGAAGTATGCACCGAAAAATATGTATGGTACAAATCTTGCTGGAGAGTAGAAGATTGTGGTATAGCACCTGATCAGCTCTGCAGATGTAGAGATATCTATGCCAATCCTCAGGGTTTACTCTACATTTTGATTCGTTGAAACATCGAGTTTTGCTCCACAAGAACACAGACGATTCGATCATATTTGTTGCTGGTACAAATAGCATCAGTGTCAATCAAGACAAGTAACTGAATTATTCTGGCTCAATATATGTACTTGAAAGCAATGGTCTCTTCATTATGGACAAATGAAACAAGTATATTAGTGAAACCCTTTTTAAGGAAAATAGATGACATTGGATGTTTTGTTTCTTCCCCTAGATTCTACACTAACTAATCATCTGATCTTGTAGTTGTGTAAAAACGTTCGTACCAAGCACCGCAGTTGGTATGGTATTGGTGTCTGGCAGTTATTCTTACCAGTATCGCTAAACGACTATAAAGTGTGATTCTCATGATTCCCTCAATGTCAATGAAAATTATACCGTAAGAATGAAACCCAATTTACTAAATCCATCTGCATTCATCGACGGACTAATATTTTGTCGGATTGCGCTTTGATACGAATAGATCTTTGTATACCATTCGGGATAATATGTTAATCGAATCCAATCTTCTCTCTAGCATCTACTGATTATTACAGAACAAAAGTAAACATTAAAGTTTTTATCTTAGTCTAGACCACATTTGTTTGTGTTTTTTCTTATGAATAATAAAAAAGCATATTTTACATTGTTCACAACTAATTCCATCAATCAGAGATTCACAGACGACGTAATACAATGATGATTTATTACGGTACTATTCATAATCATATGGATCTATGACATGTTTATTGCGAACGACAGGATTAGTCAAGTTCCGTCTCAATTCCACAGAATGTGGATTTGACTTGGATGAATTCAATTGATAGATGAAGTAACAGAAGCATGTATAGACGATCCTTAAGAGAAAGATGATGAACTTAAAAACTGGACTACATTTTTTAAAATTCATTGTAGATGTTATATCTCCTTCAATTGAATAAATTGTAGATCAAAGGGTGGTTTGAGTGTAGACGAGCGTTGATTTTCGTTTCTTCCACACTCACCAACATACGCACACACATACTCCTACTAAGAAGCACGTCCACACCGTCGACCACACTGCACCTATATTCTAATTGATTTGATATAACTGAATGAGTAATTTTCACAAGCATTCTATACATTCTTTACTTATTTCTATTTCTAGATGCTTTATCCAATGGATATTGGTGCAACCGACAAATAAACCAATCAGATCGATGTTGTTCACCAGCAATAGTAGTGCTGTAACAAAATCGGATAAGAAAATAAAAAGCAACAACAACAAAAGGTATCCTGTTCTATCACGCACATGTTTCACAAAGAAAACGAAAGAAAAGAGAAAAAGAGACAATTACAATTTAACTTGCGCAGACTTATATTTAAATTGTGAGAATCGTTGTGAATATCTGCTACTTTCAAACTTTACGCTCGCAATGAGTCGTGCTTTATTAGACGAGCTTCTTGCTCATTCTTCTAAGAATTACCAAGTTCTTTTCAATCATCTTATGTTTCATAATCATAATGCCCATCATTTGGGATCTTTATACTTCTTGGGTGCAAGTGACGAAAGACTAAAACAGATCTACAAATTAATGTGTGACATAGTCGATCCGTATGAACTATCACCTCATGAAATTACTCGTGCTAATTGGCGAGAGTTTCTTGGTAATAAACAATATTGTAAGGCCTACAAAGATTTCTTCGAGCAAGAGCTGACTGCAAATGGAAACAATTGGCGAAAGAAATTCTTGGACTTATTGCTAGAAGATAAGGTGAAGCCGATGATCAACGGTGTTGTTTGTGATTTGTTACATCCTTTGATACATATTGGTTATGCATTCGAATTAAACAGTCCAATAGTAGCTATTGAAGCGCTGGCACAAACTGCTGTGTGCTATAATCCACTCCACGAAGTCATCGATAACTTGAAACCACCTAAATCGGGTTCAAAATCGGCTTTGAAAGTGTTTCAAGACATTCGCTCTGATGATCGATTATTCGTTGCTGATGCAGCATCAATAATCGATAATATAAAGCTTGTTATGGAAAACTTGAATGATCTTGTCCTTTATCATTATGATCAATGGAAGATGGATGAAAACAATTTTGGTAAAACAATTGAAGATTTGTTCGATTTGACTGTTTATATTTATGGTGCTACACACAAATCTGATTAGGTTCGATTCAATTTCGTTTTGCTTCATCTGCTCACTGGAATGTATGCTATTCGTGTGATATATCCACATTTAGACGATCAAAAGGTGGTCAAACACATTCTTCTGCAAGTTTTCTATACTGCTTGTGTTATTTATATAGCTCATGGTCGACCTGAAATTAATATAAAACTCATTGACGATTATCATATTGACGATGTCAAAAACAGTTGGGATTATGTAATCGATCGAACATTAAATTCAAGTTTAGCCGAAATCACGCATCTGGTAAAAGTAGTGCATTTGTTGAGAGCTGCAGAGGCTGCTTATGGTGCTAAAGATGGACTTTATTTGAAAACGGCTGTGAAAACTGTTGACAATGTTCATGTAGATGATCCGTGGGTCGGAGCATAAGACAATCCTCAATATTTAAAATCACTTAAAAGTCAATAGTTTACTTTTTACGTCTTAATCAAGCTTTTTTTTAGAACAAACTCTGCTATATCGCGCTCTATTTTCGTTTCATTTCATTGATAAGATGTAAATATCTTCTGCTTATCTAACAATAACAAATGCATCACACATGATTGATTATAAAGATATAAAAAAACTACGACATTTCGATTATTCATAGAGTAACCAAATATATCGTAAGTTTTTAATAATAGTCATTCATGTTTTCTTGAATAGCCGATGCGGTGTCTTTTTCGAAATAAACCGATTGTACCTAACCGAAAAAGAATCGAATTTTAAGATAATTCGATTTTGCGAAGTTGTTCGAGCACTAGAATTTCTAAAGAGGGAAAAGAAAGATAATATTTCGGATGCAATATCCTATAAATTCGCTCAAGTTTAAAACGTGCAAAGTTAAGCATACCATTGGTGCTAGTAGAGCTTTGATAATATGGCAAGCATTTGCTATGAATGTCGACATGTGTGTTGAGTTAATGTGATTTTGAGTGCACAGCGTTTTGTAGCCATATTAGTCCAAATAGTCCCAGTGATTCTATGCCGAGTGAGTAGTTTTTACGTTTAGCGTGATAATTCAGGGCTTGCTTTGAATTGATTTTCATGTAAATACATTGAAGACTATCATTTTAGAATAGTAGTACTCTTCAAAAAGGATCTAGCAAATTAGTGAGCCATTCAGTGCTCAAACGAAATAAAATTTTCGCATGTATACTCGAAAGCAATTTTAAAAGCTCAATCACATTAACAGAAGCCTTAGACTAATAGACAACAAACCACCATTTATTCAGTTTGAATTCCAAGAACACTGACGATATAGTAATGCATTTTCAGATTACTTGAGACAAAGCACATGGGAGACTGCAAATTGCTAGTGCTACTGAAACTCCATTACCAAGTGTTGAATATGAATGTTGGATTGAGTCGTACAACTTTTGCCGGATTTTTTGTATCGATACATCTATCCGATTTCTATTTATTTTCATGCTTGAAATAGATGAATGTTGTCAGTAATCTACCGCTCAATACATTATTTTGTACGTTATCTTCATGACAACATAGTTGAATTTCAGGGGCTATTTTTCTGCGAAAAATGAAACTTGATGAGAAAGACGAGTTCTACAAATTTGTTTCAGAGATTTGAAGATGTTAATTGAATGTGTTTTAGTGTGATTTTGTTTTTATTATCCATGTTTTCTTGCGAACAATTCAGATTAACAACGAAAATTAATTATAGAAACAATTGACAAGAGAAAAGCAGATTGAGAATAAAAAAAGACAGGAAATATTCAAATAAAATAGATCGAAGCACATTGTGTTTAAGTTGTATTTTACTTCTACAATCGGGTGCAATTGTAACAACCCATTATATATTCTTCAATTAGAACGGCAATATTCAAAGCTCTCGTTTTTACTAATGTGACAATGAGACATAAAACTGATGTCTATATCAGAGCACATTTATTTGAACTTTGCTGAAGTGAAACCTTTCCATGATCAAGATGAACAATTCTTTTGAAAGATATATATGGCATCTACTAATTACAGCAGTGAAGAAAATAGAAATCATTATTAAACAAAAGTATATATTTCGCTGTTATCTTCTCTGTTTTGATTTTTTTAATAGCCGTTATTGTAGAAAGTTTCTTGTGTAATGTTACATAGTTGTTTTATTATTTCGCATATCATAGAAATAATGAACAGTATCAACACTTAAAATAAGCTTTGAATTAACAAGCCAAAGAAATTCGCTTGTTATGAAAATCACTTAACTCTCAAACAAGAAAACAGAAGCGAGATAGTTCTACTACTTGATTAAATTAAGAGTGTCGTGCTGTTTTTATTTAGAGTTTGTAAAAATTTCATAAATTTGCTCTCTATACAAATGAGAAATTTAGAAAAAAAATCAATTTTATGCACTTACTTTAGGCAAATTCAGACAATCTAACGAGTAAAATGGAATTCTTAAATAGTTCATTTGATTGTAACAATCAAGAGAGATCTGTAATTTTTATTAACAGTAGACATCACAACAGAATTGTTTTTGCTTTATTGTGCAGACCACGGCACAATGCAATACTTGACAAGTGCATTCTTCTCACAGTGTACTCTTATATCCAGAGACTTATGATTCTAGGCATGTCGATACAGTATTTTGAGTCTGAGACACGCATTCATGTCTCTTAGTGTTTTACTAGCAATAGATAAATCGAATTCAAGAATATTTCATTTTGGAGAAATTAAAGCGCAGATCCGAAGATCATTGCAAAGAACTATCATTATTAGCGATTAGAAAAAATAAAATCAGAATATTTCTGAAAGATTCCTAATTCTTGTTCAAAAAGGTCGTCATGGAACTCAATGGACAAAACTGTATCAAGCACGAACAGCATAACAAAAACCATAGGTAATAGCTGCATTTGTACGTTGAAAGCGGCTTCTATTATGCCAATCCTGGAACGAAAGGAATGCGTATACTATGGGTTTGATGAAAGTTCATTTTAAACTTTTAATATTTTCTTTTGTATTATGTTGTTGTATATAAGTACCTTTTAGTATGTATGTATGGTATCAAGCAAAAAGTACATGTGAAAAGCACAATTTTTAACCTTCAAATAGACCTGTAATCATCATTAAATATAGATTTATATGTTGCTGATAAGAAACAGTCGTGAATTATTTAAATATCGTAGTCCATTTTAGAGTTCTTGACAGCATGGAAATATTTTCTCAAATGTCACTGATCTCTATGTTAATGCGTCTTAAAATAGAATGACTTGGCACATTTCGCCTTTTTAATTATAGAATCGCATAGTACCGATCTACACTAATTGTTACACACTGTATAGAACAAGTCATTTTGTCATTTAAACATTTGCATTTATTTGCGTTGAGCTATGGCAATTTCTTCAACGATGATCTACGACTTTTACAGTAGACGTACGTCGGGGAAAAATAGTGAGGTTTACCATTACATGTATCAGTTGAAACGTCAACCTACAGCTATTTACGACTGCCAACTGTATGAAACAGCAGTATAGAATACCATTTTTGGCCATCCAGGCGACTTTGAACATCCTCTTGGATATGTTTCTTACAAACATTTTCAAAAAGCTCATAGTAGGCATGATTGTTTTCAAGTGCTTTCTTGAATATCCACAACCATGCATTATTGTTAAATATAGTCTGCCCCGTATAAGGATTTGCAAATATTTTTGCAGTACCATGAGAATTTCTACTAGAGAAATAAAGATACACTTAATTAGTAAAACTTGTGTTGAGTTAGGTTTCCATGTGTCTACTCAAGTTTACAAAGGACAATAACAAATACATAGGTTTTTAATTTTTGTTAGAAGTTGTTTTCGAAATTGTGATGAAGCTATACAGAATAAATAAAAACCAATACCAAAATAGGCTGAACTCCACACGAGAAGAAATGCTCGCATTAATGCATAAAATGTAAAATTATCTAATCCCTCATAACCATAATAAAGTGTATAAATGCTGAATGGTATTTGTGTTACAATATATGCTATTACATTTAATAAAACCATCAAAAGTAACATACGATCAATAGTTCCTGTTTGTCGTCGGTTTTCATTTCTTTTATTTTGAGTAGATAGTGGAATAGTCATAGTTGCAATAGGTGCATGATGTAGCGATCTTTGTTGTACAATGCGTTTTCTTGCCTGTTGAATATTATAAAGCATTCGACCACCACATCCAATCATAAGAATAGATGGCATAACACAAATTAATATGAAGCGAATTGGTGGCATGATATTCAGAGCAATTAGACGAAATGTATCATCATATGAAAATGAACAGTGATCATTGCTATCTAATACATTAAGTGGATGGAAAAAAAATGCATATAATGACATTGAAAATAAGCAATAGATTACAAAAAGTTTAATAACAATTCTTGTTGTACACCATGCACGTGATTGAATTGGGTATTCTGAACGTATAAAACGATCAATTGCTACCGTAGTTGCTAAAAATGAACAAACTGTACGTGTTGCATTTTGTAACCATAATGTAAACTGGCATCGAAATATATTGTATGGTAAGACTTTAAATTGAAAAATGCTTGAAAGAAATTCAACAATTAATGATAATAAATGTATTGTACTAAATATATTAAGTAATAAAAAAATAAGACCTGTTGACACTTTATGTAATTCTTTTTGTATGAAAAGTAAAAATGATAAAATATTTCCAATAAATCCAGCAAAATAAATTAACACTCCTAGAACAGCTGTACTTATACGTAATCCTTCCATTGATCTTGATAAGGTTTCATTCGTCTCGATTGTTGCATTCATCGTTTCTTTATCAATGAAGTCTAATTCTTTTTTTCACTTCCAGAACTTTTTATATAGAAATATTTTAATTACGAGTAACGGTAGGGATTATATGTTATGAAGGATGGATAGTGTACTTTAGTCACGTTTTTTACGGTAAATGAGTCTAATTATACAGGCCATAGAGATTTTTTTACAGATAAACCTATTATGAAATAAATCATTTCAGTCTTGACATGCATGCTCTCTAAAATGTATTTTATAAAGATGAATGTGTCTTATTTATTTGATCTTTAATTACTAGTTGTGTATAATGCAGCTAAATAGTTTATGTGAAAAATAAAAGTTGATATTTTGCAAAGCTAAAATATCTTCCTTTTGCTTTCAGACTGTATTGAATCTGTATTCGTAATCATTGAGCTGTTGAGTCAAACACACGACAATGTTCATAGGAATTACAAGAAAGAAAACGAAAAGTTGAATTATGTTAATGAAGATAATGGTACTATTGCTAATTACTCCAGTATGATTTTATGTCATTGAAATATCCTTTTAATTCTGTTTTAGAAAGAAATATTCAAGTTTAATTCATTGAAAAATTTGACGTGGACACTTAGATCATTTTGACAGTCATTTATTTTCTGTGTCTATATTTGATTTTAGATAGTAAAATAAAATTTTTCAACACACTTTCTTATAGAACAAAATATGATACATGTCAAAATAAATTTCATAAACGTTAAAAACAAAAGAGTAGCAACTACTACGACAAGCAATCTAAAAGAACATCGTCTCATCTGTCATGATATCTCAACTGAGAATTAATGAGTATAAAGGTCTCTTTCTGTACTTCAGAATTTTTCGATGCCCTGCTGAAAAAAAATTGAAATAAACACGAGTCAAGCATCTCATTAACATTGCAACAATCTATATTTATCTGTTGATTATTCTCTATATGAAAGATTTATTAGGATTCAAATTACGCATTTTTCTCTATTAAAGCTCATTTAATATTTTTTAATCTTTGAACACATCTATATTTCATTATTTCGCTGTTAATAATTTAAATAATGCTCGATCTCTATTTCAATTGGCATGCACAATAAATGACTATTGCTTATACATAAGTTTGATCAATAATAATATCTCTAATTCAATGAATACGACCATGATAATTGCAGTATGTTCTTTTTTGTACCAATTCTACACAATCCATATTGAAGAAAATATAAATTACATCTAACTTTCATATGTAGAAATCACAAATCGAACTCGATTATCTAGATGATAAAGTATGAAGACATGTTTAAAAGTAGAATAATTTGAATTTCTTATCTTATCCAACCATTTGCTTAGGCCAATAATAATGGAAACTGTCTTTGCAGTTTGCATCCGACGTGATATAAAGAGTTTATGTTTACTTTAAAAGACTAGACTACGTACATATTTATTTATCTCAACTAACGTGAATCAAATGAATGATTACGAATCATGCTTGATTCTTGTAATACAATCAAAATACACGCATATTTCTTTTTATTATGTTACAAAACCTCTTTGATCATGTGAATACATTTTTTAATGGTTCTTTTCTTAAACAATAAAAGAAAAGACGTCAAAAAGTCGAAGAGCAGATTGCATATTATTGACAGAAGAATCTGATCAATATTTGTTCTTGACAAAATATAGTCTTAATAAAGTAAGAAAAGTTAATAGTGGATTCAAGTTTTTCCAAAAACGGTATATTCGATTAATATTAGACAACTGGGCAAGTTTTTTTCTGTGATGATGCACTCCACAAATTTGGTCAACTTCGAAATGCAACTCATTTGATGTTGCTCGAAAGGTCTCTATCAAATGACATATATTTCATTGAACTAGAAATAGATATTTAGTGAGTAGGACCTTTAAAGCAGCATAAATCATGATCTACTTGAGCATTTTATCTGGTGTTTTGCTCCGTGTGACGTTAGTCGCTTATAAAATGCAATTTTTGCGAGGCAGTTCCACGAACTTTATCAAATGATGCATGTTTTATATGAATAAAAAACAGAAAGTTAATGATGCATAAAATCCTTCACACAGATATGGTGTTCTTATTACGCCCTACAATTTTTTTACCACGCAGTTGGCCCCACTATGAAACGTAATTTATTTAGCAAAATTTAAGTTTAATTAAATAGTGTTTTGAGCAATGTCATTAAGAAATGCAACTTCAATGTACATTGAAAACATGTTTCGTGTGTAGAAAATATCTTCATTAAATATTTTATCTACCTATCTATGTTACAGCTTGTGTTCACCCTCAAAACAAAGCTAATTTTGCACAGTTTGAGAAGTCATATAGGATCAAATGTAATTAGTTGATTATCGTCACTATCAGACTTCATAGTGTAGACCATGCAAAATTGAAGAGATGACGTGTTGCCTTAAGTTTCGACGCAGCATGATCGCAGTAGTTAACGAAACAAACTCAAATGTACCAACATGACTAGATGCATTGAAATTTTTAATGATATATCGTATTTTCACTGATGATAAAGTGTATTTTGTCAGAGTAGTTTTGTCAAATAATATTTGTAAATATACTACAATGCAAATACAAATGATTGAATATTTGAAGTATGACATTTAAATAGAAGTCAAATATACATGAATGTCGATCTTCTCCTGGAAGATAATTTTTTCAACAGAAGTTTCTGTTTCCACATGACAGATGCTACTAGAACAGCTTCTATTCCCAAACCCTATAAAAATATAGAATATATTGAAAAAGATTCGTCAACGATGAGAAATTTTCACAAGAGTAATTTCCAAGATCCATTATGGTATATTTCTTTGTATTCAATTAAATCAATGAAATACCAATAAACAACGTTCTATTTTATCCTAAATGACATGAAGATCATTAACAAAATTTTACGAAATCATTACACTATCAACGATGATGTCGTATATGTAAGTTACAAAATCGACCAATCGTAGCAACAGCTTTACATATGCAGACAGACTATCATGGTCAAAATGATATTACAACGACAAACGACACATTTCAAAGGTATAAATATTCATAATCACATCAAATTATCAATGACACACTCATATTTGTAACTTCTTTTTCACCAAAAAGAAAAGATTTATTGCTATGTAGAAAGCAATGTTACCAAAAATGATGCGCCAATTGACATGTTCTTACACATAGAGAAGATCAATCAATAAGAATACTCAACCCTGTGAGCTTAAATATATTCAATCGAAATCGATTTTTTTCACGTCATTTGTTAGTCCAGATGACTTGCGAATGTAATAACACATCGAGATGCATTTTTTTTTCACTTCTATAGACAGCAATGAATAGCACAATTCTACGTAAGATTGAATTTGTTAACCCCAAAACTGAATTATTCTTTCAGAAATTTCTAAAACGTTTTGACGAGTTCCGCAAAACTTTCTCAATAGACAAAATAATCTGCACTGGTCAATCTTTTAGTATTAATTAATTAAGAAACAAATATCAATTTCTTTTTTTTTATCACAGTTTATGGTAATCGTCCTTTTTTATGTAAAAACCACATCACACCAAACATTAATGATGCTTCTTTAGCTTTAGTTTCATCGAATAAGAATTGATAAAGTTCATCAATGGGAATTTCGTGTATGGCGATAACTATTAATAAATAAATAAACAAATAAGAAAGATATTAACCTTTATGATTTTATCTTACATTCTTGTTCGGATAAATTTCCGCCACCTGTATTTGTTTTCATTTCATTTGTTACTTCAACATAAAAAAGTTCTTGAAGTGCTCCAGCTGTACCAACACCTGATCGATATTTTGCCACTGATTCAATTGAATTGATATCAACTGAATAACCGCATTCTTCAAGTAATTCAACATGTGCATGTTCTTTATTGGATAAATGTTTTTTATCAATAATCCCAGCACAAAATTCATAAGTAACAGCAGATTTAGGATCCTGTTTTGCAAAATCAATATCAGTTATAGATGAAGCATTTTGTTCTGCTTTACTGATCATAACATGAACAGCAGGACGAAATTGACGAACGAAAACAAGAGTATCAGTTGATCGATTGTAAACAATGATAACAACTGAATTCTATGATCAAATTAAATAAGAAAAAACTGTACAAATAAAAAATGATTGAAGAATTAATTAATAATTTACATGAGCATCAATAGCATCCCACAGTCGTTTTACAGGATTATTATTGCGTTCATCAATAAACATGGCTCGAAAAGGACGAACATAACTCGAATTTTTTGGTAAATCTCCGACTTGAAAATCTTTGATTCGACATAGATCTTCATCAGTTAAATGACTGCCTAGACTTGGATTTGTAATTACTTTTTGTTCTTCTTTTTCATTGACGGACATTTTCGAATTAAAAAGAAAGTAAAGGAACACTTTTTAATTCATTTTACTTAATCACTGCGATGATTCATGGTTTAAAATGAATGGCCAATAACACACCAATCCTTGAATAAATTTTCTATGCAGACTTGATAGAAAGATGACGTGAATAAAAATAAATGAATCTATCTACTATTGGTATAAGCAATGCCGTGCTGGACGAATAGTGTATATTTAATATTTAGAAGACACAAACATATTGGTTTTTTTTTGTTTTCTAAACGCATACATTGCGATTCTGATATTTGAAGTTATATTTTCTAACCAGTTGAATTCTGAAGGCACGTACTGAATTTTACATTAAACCATAGAATATTTTTGCTGTTCATAAATTTCAAATGCTAAATGAAAGCTTTTACTTTTGCATAAAAACCTCATTTGATATTCCTTTTAGTTGTAAGTCAACTTGAAGATTTTCATTTCCCGACAATGAAAAAGTTTTTATTCTTAACCGAAGTGAAAAGATATGAGACGGTTTCATTAGGAAGACAGCGTTAAGTTGGTGACTCTCGGATACAGTATTGCGGATTGAAATGTCTCAGGATTGGTCGGCTTATTACAGACAGTTTCTTGCGGCAAAGAACGAGAAATTAATTAGAAGTTATCGAAAAAAAATTCCCAGACATTTCAACCCAGAATATTGCTTTCGAATTCTCTCGGTTTTCGGAGTCTTTCGGTCGAAACCAGCCCATACCTTTTCACTTGAGAAATCTAAAACAGATTTGAACGTAGGCTTCATAACCAGTTCAGAAATGGCAGAGTATGTCGTGTATACCGTCGTCATGATACAAAATAGGATATGTGATCAGAAAGTGTGTCTGAGCATGAAAGACGTAGCTAAGCCCAAGATATGGAGCATCAGATTTTGTTGCTATTTTTCAAGACATTTTAGGTCGAATACAGTAAGAGAAGCATCGGAAGAATCCAGAGTATTTCTGTTCGAAACAGTACTTCATGAAAGTGTCGTAGCTGATCGTTTTCAAGACATATTGTTAGACACAAACAGTTTTAATCCTGTTCTCAGTCTACAAAACAAAAAATCAACGAATACAATTGGATTTATGTTAGTTCTGAGCAAATTTTCACATATATCATTGAAGCCGAATCAAGAAAAAAACTATTCGTTGATTAAAACCATCTAAAACGAAAGAATCGATAAATTTTTCTAGATTTTGTGCAACAGTAGAACGGAACCATTTCTATCAACAAGAGAATTGAGATTAAAAGAATTTGATTACATGTATCTCTCTACTACAGATATTCTCGGGTGTGTGCAATTAAGACAAATGAATATTTTTTTATTTGTTTCTATGCTTCATATTGTTTTTAACTTTTATCTTTTTCAATCTCATGCAAGCGTATCATCTTGCGTCATTTTGTGATTGAATGAATTCTTTAATGCCATCTAATTGAATTGAATATCAATTCTATAGTCTAGATGTTGGCAACAAAAAGAACTAGCCAATGAGACAACAGAGAAAAAGCAAAACGTCTGCTGTTGTTTTTTTTTCGGAGAGAAAAAAGAAAAGAAAAAATAGAAAACAAATGTACCGTTTGACAGCTATGCTTCTATATTCTGTCAGAGGTCGGTAGACGCGTCGACCACGTAATAAGTGACGTACTTTTGCAAGCACTGTTAACAAGTAAGAGAAATGGCATGTTGAATCATAGCAGCTATCCAAGTAATACACATAGAGGTCAGAAACTTCTACTCAAGTATATACCATAGCATACGCTGTATGAACAAGAAAAAGAAATGATGTCAAAGATGCCAGTAATTCAAAAATCAAGCAATATTGTGTTTCTTTTATTTTTGCATGGTTTGATGATGGTCGACGATCGCTGCAAGAATATGGATATCAACAAAAATAAACCTCATTATTTGTGAGAAAATTTTAAGAAAAAACTTCGAAACAATTCGCTTTCCCCATAAAGAAGAAAAATATCCAGATTTTAAACAAATTCAACTTTTTCCATTGTTAGTTTTGAAGTAGGAAGCTTGAAAAAATGATCACTAGATGCAGCATAACAAACTGCATTTAATCACATAGTTTAAACTATATCATTAGATGCAGCTTTAAAAACGGCATCTAATGAACAGTTTTCCCAAGCTTCCTACATCAAAACTAACAATCAAAAAAGTTGAGCTTGTTTAAAATCTGAATATTTTTCTTCTTTATGGGAAGAGTTTTTATCGAGTTTTTAAAAATTTTCTCTCAGATAATAAGTCTGACTTTTTGTTAATATCGATATTTTTGTAGTATTCGTCGATCTTCATCGAACCATGTAAAAATAAAAACAAAACTATTTTGCTCGATTTTTAAATTACTGGCACCTTACGAAATAGTTTTTTGGTCATTTTTAGATATAGAGAAAAGATGAGATCGATCCATTTTATTCTCATGATCTTTAAATGAAATAAATCAGTTCCATTGACGTTTTAGAAAAAAATCCAATCCAACATTATTTAACATCATTAGTTTTACAGAACTCTTATTATCAAGTTTTGTCAAAATGAGTACCATTGAGGACAGTATCGTTATGCCGGTAGAGCCTAATATGATTGAATTTCTCAGTCAAATGAATCCAGCTAGAGGGAATATGGCGATAGTCCAACCAGCTGCTATTCCTATAGTGGCATCATATTCAAACATGGTATTCAAAATTATTTTGAAAAATATGTTTGTTTTTGAAGAATGGCTTTATTTATATAGATCTCTGAAGCACTCGATGCTCGTGACAATTCGAATGCTATGAACATTATGGCTACTGTATGTTTCTTATTGCCAGCGTTAATCTGCCGTTTCTACTAATTTTAGGTTTTTGGGTTTAGATTGTGCATCAGTCGATTAATGAAATAAATGAAACTGCTATGGATACAAACATATCAGTTGAAGAAAAAGTATATTTCATTGAACTTGTTTTTACTGAAATGTGCGACTCTTATTCATAGGAAATAGAATATTCAGAAGAACTTAATGTCGATCGGATAGATAATAAAATTGTTTTAAATACAAATGTAAGGAACTTTGTATATTATTTATATCAATTAACTTAAATATTGTAGTTCAATCAAATACATCAATTTAATATAACTATGTAGCAACAGCCACATAGATATTACGGTGTCTGAAGGGCTTTAACCGCCATTTGGATGCTTTCAATTTGTAATGTAGAAGAACTTAATCTTTTTTTCTTTATTTGATTAACTTTTACAGTTTCCTCATCTTTTTTCTTCATTTCACGGTACAACACGAGAATCCTTTTATAAAAATTTAGCTACCCGCTACTAGAGCCCGTCGGGTCCAAAGTTTTTGGACCCGGAACTGTACCCGGACCCAGTCGGATCCGAGCTCTACCCGCTACTTTCACGATAAAAGTTAACCGACTGAAATTGTTCACCCTCTTTTAACTAGTGTTGAAAGTCTAACATTCATAACTTGCGTTGTTAAGACGGCTTCAACTTTTTCAGTTTTGTGTCAACTATAAAACGAGACCCGTATTCAACTGATATAATTCCAATTGATTCAAGTTTCTTATCAAAACTTTTCTCAATTATAGTCAGATTGTGATTTCTAAAAGGTGAAAAGTGTAGAATGATTTTCACGTACTTTTGTTTGATTTACTTTCTAAACATTATGATTAAAATTTGACTATTTCTACAAATAATATATAAGCTCTTTTTGATTCTTTATTCCACTGTTTTTGTCAAATTTTAAGTATAACTTTTAGAAAGAAAATATTTTATAATTTTTGAAGGTCTTCAAAAATTATCAGTCATTTGAAATCAAAATCAGACGATAGTCATAAAAAATTCAGATGCAGGAATCACTAAGAATTATAAACTGATTACTTCTAGTTATTTCCAGTTTAATCCTACCAGGTAGTGGCTGAGAAGGGAACTTGGCCCAGCCCCTCCCCCTGGACTTTTAAGTCCTCTCTAGCGAAATTTTTGAAAGATGTATTTTCTCTTGAAAAATCCCGCTAGTGATGCTCAGACGTCCATTGGGGAGTTAAGTCCTCCTAACCCGAAATCCTGGCTCCATCACTGCTAGCAAGATAACATTTTTTTGACTGATAGTATACAAATCAAAAATGTGTAATAACAGTTAAACTTTCAGTTGAGCGATTCATTTTATTCAGCTTTCATATTGTCGCAAAAGATGTTAGACCTAATGAAAGCTATCATGGTTCTAAAATAAATGTTTTAGCAGCGTCACTGAATGTTGCACTAGGGAGACGAACTACTGTGCATCGCTCACATAGTTTTATAGATTATTTACTCATTTCACATTTAAAAGCAATCAGTCACAAAACGTTATTGTTGACAATGTTGGAGTCAATGTACTTCAGGTATAGGTGATTGTTGTTAAGAATCAAAACTTGACACGCAGTCAATATATAGAACGGTGATATCCCATGAATCACGGGAGTTTCGAAGACGAATTTCGTCTAAATGACGAGTTTAATCAGCTAGTGGATACAGATTATATGCCTAAAATCTGTATTCCATATTTTTAAATAAGTATGACTACATCCTAATGATGTAGCATACTAAACATTAATAAACAGATGGAAACACAGACCTGTAGCACTAGGATTGCTATCAGAAACTTTAGAATTCTTTGATCCTACTAGTTCTCAGAACGTCAAAGTCTAGTAAATCAATATACTATTGATGCTAATATATACGTGATAGAGATCTAGTAGATCAAGTTTCCTTCTGTATTATTAAGGTTTGATATTCAACGGAGGGCTCACTTGTTCGTACCGGTGTGTAAAACACAGTTTCTTCTTCTTATTTTTTTTTTGCTTTCTATTTTAATGTATACTTTTTTCTGCTCTCAACAATCCCCTTTCTCTTCTGATCTTTTTCTGATATCCTACCCATTAATGTTGTTTTTGCTTAGCATCACTCTGTGATACAATAATTGTCGAGTGTTTATTATTTACTAATATTAAATGTTTTGTGCTGTCTATAGTCCGCATATGTTTCAAGTCTTGTTAAACTCACACATTAATGTTTACTTTATCTTTGTTTGTCAGTAAATAATGAACGTCCCATGCAATAAAATTCAAAATAAAAAAAGGCAAAAATAATAGTATAATGCTATGAATAACATCATAGATAAGAATAATTTGTATAGAGATGATCTATAGGTACATCGATGTTTTAATCCCATAAGGCCATACCGTGTACGATCATTAATTTTATTTATTAAAGAGTTTTTTCATGAAGTCGAAAAACTATTCAGTCTGTAAGACAAGTGGCAAATATTGTTAAATTTGCAGTTACAACCACACTAAAAAAACAACATTAACTGTTTGCAATACCATTCATGATATGTACCCTTTTTGTTTGATATTTATTTGTTAAATTAAATATGAATTAAGGAACAAATCCTTGCCATACACTTCATCTCATTGTATATTTTTTGTTTGTTTACACGGAAACGCTATGTTGATAGTTTTAGTTGACATTTTCTTTCAGTATAATTATTAAAACTATCTGGAAACTAATCAAACATTAAAAAGAAACAGAAAAATTCTTCGCGGAAACTGTGTCTCACGAGTACTTTGCTTACTCAATATATATAAATAAAATCACATAGAGATGCGATGAAACAAAAGACATTGATTTTTTACTCATAATGATTCGTTAATCATAGGAAAAGATATAGCAGAGACAAAAAAATCATTCGAGTGTTGTATCAGTTGACTTATGGACTGAGATTCCTTCATACTTCATTGCCATTCATGTTAAATAATGAGTCAATGACACAATATTCTACCGAAAAACACAAAAAATGTAATGAATAAGCGCTTTGTTTCGCAATTTTTTATTTAAAAAAAGAAAACAAAAGTTTTTGTTTCGTTTCTTCAACCCAGTATGGGAGAGTAAGTAAAGGTGAAAAGTTTAAGTGTTGATAAATATATTTTCTATGTTACTCCAGTAAAATAAAAACGCTGACCATTAGACTCAAAATAATCGTAGAACAAAAATCACTTATTTAAGATACAGTAATAATTATGATGTATATACTTTTTTTGAACACATTTATATCTACTTAATAGAATTGCATTATGGACGAAATTGACAAATTTATAGCGATCACTGCTAATGGTAATCGTTGTAACTCACAATTTACATTTAATTCAACAGGATCCAGCATGTTGTTTGTGGAATCATCGCATTGCACGGGGAGAACGTCTTCAGACCCTCGCTTCGAACACTACCCGACTCAATATAGTCACCAGAGACCTGAAGATCCTCGTCATCGAATACATTCTACATTACATAACAATGTTATTGAGTTGTCGATCAAGACCACTGTTAGTATACTTTTTTTTTCATTTGTTAAATCCATGTTCTTAGTAGGAATGGGATTTCCCAGTGGCTTGGGCGACTGATCGGATCAGTCAACAAATTTTGGAAAGTAATTGTAAAAAATCTCTTCATTCATATCTCTAATAATGTACCCATCGCCTTATTTATAGATCAACCAACCAAAAAGTTACATCAATAATTATCAAACTTCATTATCGTAATTCATTGACAATTATTATTTTCTTATTATATACGACATTCATCACATTTTGTTTCTTTCGTACTTCATTGCACATGTTTTATTTGAGCTATGCTATTCCTTAGACACTCATAATCTTCTAAAAGTTCGCATTAGACCATTTTAAGCAAGCTAAGTCATTCTTTAATTACAAAACTACTCAAAAAACTTCTAAATAACCCAAATGACATAGTATAAATTTATCAACAATCTTTATATTTTATACCTACCCAGGTGGATGAATCGGATACCAAATCTGATCGAATCGTGTAGAATCCGATCAGTCAACAAAATCTTATGTGAGTCTTGATGGCGAACTCAGTAAACTGATCTGACGGTCGAGATAAGTTGGACATTCAACGAAATCCATCACTGATATTTGACAATATTCGACTATACCCTGCTTGATCTAAGCAAGTGAAATACCCATATAAACAATTTGTTTGCAGTTGTGCTCAGTGTTCATGGTCTCGTATCACGTTCTAATGGTATTCTACTGTAATATTTCATTGAACTGTGACACTAAGATCATGTGAAATGCTGACTGTAGGATCAGAATAAAATCCAACTTCAAGAATCCCAATTTGATTTCGTTACCCGTTTCTCAGCAATATTTCCTACAGGATTCTATAGAATTTTACACGATTCTTATAGGATTTGATAAGATTCAGCTGTTGGATTAAATTAGTTCTTCTGGGTAGCAAGAAAGTTCTTTTTTAATTAAGTATAAAAACAAAAATGAGCAGTACTTTTTTTGATCTTGGTCCCTTGGTATATTTCTTAATACTTTACCATTTAAACTTCCAGAGATTTTCTAGACAGAAACTGTTAATATAAAAAAGTTTACTAAAATAGGATTAGTGTATGAATCAATATACTATCTGTTTTTGATTTTGATCTCAGTGTTTAGCCTATGTTTATCGACAATTACATGGCTCTTTAATAAATTCTATACGGTAATTGCGTAATTGCTTCTTGTTACCTATACAAGCATTTGTTTTTTGCACTGTGTACATTTTTATGTATATATTATTCATTGCTGTGATGTTTTTCTCTTTAGTTCAGAAACTTTTTCTTGTTCTCTATCGCGTGTATTACTAATTATGCTAATTTGAATGTGTTTATCTTCATATTTTAATCACAAATAAAAGAGTATGATAATCTATATTTATAAATGTCATATACTAGTGACATCACTAATTTGTTCTGTTTTTAAAAAGGAAAGTGTGACTAATCGTAAGGTAAAGAAAGAAAAAGACAACCAATCAATGTTTAGGAAAACGGTCAGTTAGTTCTATATGATGACCTTGTCCGTGTCAGAAAAAAATTTTTAGAGAAAAGAAATATCTCGACTTGTTTTGATTTGATTCATTTTGTGATGGTCAAACGGGGATAATTGTACCGATCTTATTTACATATCAAATAGAAATCGTCATTATTGTTTAGTACAAACCATGTTTATCATCTCGTCTATGAAATTGTTTTCTATTTTCGTCTTTCTACATTACATTGCGAGTTCGTTGTTTTTTTAGTTAATTATTTTTAAATTAAATGATAGTTTTTAGTTATCAATAGTCTCACATCAGCTGATATTTATAGTCCTTGCAAAAGACCGCAAACTTTAGGTATTGAGTTGGGTAGAATTCCAAATGCGGCCTTTTTTGCGTCATCTTTTGTGGAAGGTCGAGAACCATATACTGCTCGATTAAATGGCCGCTATGGTTTGTTTTTCTAATGAATTTTATTTTCAAATTATTTTGTTTTTTTTCTTTTAAAGCTTGGCGACCTGCTTATATGGATGCAGATCAATATTTAAATGTTGATCTTGGTTCTCGATACTATGTAACAGGTGTTGCAACACAAGGTCGTCGTGCAGCAAAAGAATATGTAACAATATTTAATTTAATGTATTCTGATAATGGTCATAATTGGTTTTATTATACAACTGAAGACAAAATCATTTTGGTTCGTTATTTGAATTGAATATATTTACACAACAAGAAAAAATTCATTTCATTTCTTTTAGAATTTCGTTGGTAATAAAAATGATGATGGTATTGTACGCAATAATCTGTCAGATCCAGTTATAACACGTTATATACGTTTTAGTCCCAGACAATGGAATAATTTTATTTCAATGCGTGTTGAAATTTATGGATGCCCATTTAGTATGAAGACTTATTTTGTAATACTAAGATTTTAAATTTCTTTTATTGAAATTTTTTTAAGCATCTTCATCATTTAATTTTGATGGAAAAACAATTGCTTATTATGATGCAACTTTTATTCCATTACATAATACACGAGATGAATTACGTTTACGTTTTAAAACAAATTATCCACATGGACTTTTATTTTATGCTAAAGGAACACAAAATAATGATTATTTAAGTGTTGAACTTCGTAATGGAAGTATATTTGTTGGAGTTGATCTAGGTTTGGATTTATTGATATAAATATATATGTATATATATTGAGAAAAGAATATTTCTGTTTTTTTTCTAGGTTCAATACCAGAACGTTCAGGTGAAACAATAATTCAAGCCGGTAGTGTATTGGATGATTATCAATGGCATGATTTAGCTGTAATACGTCACATGAAAAATATTTCGGTAAAAATTGATCAAACAGTTGTACATCAAGAATCACAAAGTCCTTTTAATGGATTGGATCTTGATGGAAAGGTAAGACAATTTATTTGATAGAAAAATATGAACTTTTTTGTAAATGTACAAATAAATCTAATTAGAATTTTAGAATGCTCGTTATTTTCTTTTATTCTATCAAATGCTACAAAATACTAGTTCCTTTCATCCTAAGAATCTTTTTCCATTAGGGATAGAACTGGATGATATAACATACGCGATTATTTTTTTTTTCTTCATTGATTTCGATCATAATTGTGGCAGTCCGACTGTGTAGTGTCTTTCAAATCTATTAGTAGATTAAATATAATTTTTTTTTAGCTTTTCGTTGGCGGAGCACCCAATCATATGGAACGAGGAATAAGTGTGCGGCCTAATTTTCAAGGTTGTTTAGAAAATGTTCTATATATCAGTACATCAACAAATTCTATTTTGGATATCTTACAAAATTTACAACGACAAAATCCATTCTATGGTCTTGAACAAGGAAAGGTTGGCTCTGAAGCAATGTGTGAAGTAAGTTAAATACGAATTTTTCTTTGTTTTCTATTATATTTATAATAAAAAAATACCTTCATTACTTTGTTCTTTTAGATTAAGATTTAAAAGTGAGGAAAATATAATATTTGTTTTTTTTTGTCAATAATCTCAGCTGCTGTGCTCATGCATGACGAGAATATATATATATTATTTTGTCTTTTTTTGTCTGAGCTGTTGCTAGCACGCTTATGCATAATGAATAATCAGTTTTTTTTGTTTTTATAAATAATGATTTGTTTTCTTTTAATTTTAAGGATGATTCAATGAATATGCATCCATATACATTTAAAACATTTGATTCTTACCTTGAAATATTTCGTAAACCGGGTGCAACATCTATTGATATAAGTTTTCAAATGCGTACATTTGAACCAAATGGAATTTTATTCTATACAAATTTATCTGAGCCAAGACATTTAATGGTTGGTATTAATGATGTACCTGACCAAGATTTTTTACGAGTAAGAAAAACTTAATAACAATAATAAATAAGTATATAATTTATCTTTATTTTCTTTTTCTAAGTTGTTTCTTGATGAAGGACAATTAGCTTGTACTCTACAATTAGATGGAAATAAACGAACTGTTCGTCATCGTCGAGGTAAATTGCAATGATTGAACTTTTGATATATGATCAATTTTTTTTGCAAAATTCAGATAATTTAAATGATGGTCAATGGCATGAAATAAGTCTTTTGTTAACACAGGATCGTTTTAATATAATAGTTGATTATGAACCTGAATTCTCATCGACACGTAATAATTTATCAACAACAGATCGTTTTACATTTAGTTCAAATGGCGATCAAATAAATCGTGAAACAACAATGAATGGTTTTGTTGGTTGTATAAGACACTTAGTTATGAGTAGAATACAAATATTACCAAGAGATTTAACAAGTAATTTAACAGCTCTACAAACAGGTAACAATCAACCAAGAACAGAAACTGTAATTAATCATGGTGTACTTGTTGATGCTTGTGAAATGTTTGATCGTTGTACCCCAAATCCATGTCGCCATGGGGGAATATGTTATCAAGTAAGATTCAAAAAAAAAACATATTCATAACATTTAAATCAGTACATTCGAACTAAAGCTAAAGTTCTTTTTTTTCTTTTATCGTATAATTACAGCAGGTCTAGTGCCATGAAGAAGTATTCCATGACTGCTTTATGAAAGTAATCTGAAGAATCTGAATTGATGTAAAGTATGAGAATGAATACATAATGATTATTTTTTAGTCGAATCTTTTCATATGGATCATGAAATGACTAAATCGTTAAAGATCTCTCCTCCGTTCGTTATCCAAAATTGTTGGCTTTTCTTTGCCACTGTATAGTCTGTGCCAGTATCTATGTACTGAGTATATTGTGGGATCCAAACACTGTCTTTCAATCTTACAAAACCAAATTTATGTAACGGAAATAGCGACAACTATATATTGTTTCACACTTTTTGAAACCAATTTTTTCACGAAATAAAGTTCAGAAACGTGCCGGTTGCTGCGGTCAAGTACATCTGATCGAGTTGAAACTTTTTTCACACATACTATATACTATTTGAGGTTGATATGTTTTGTTTCAAAAAGGATTATTCTTTTGATGTTTGGTAGTTCTTACAAAAAAGAGTTCTATTCAAAAAAACAAAAGCTCCAAAAAGTGTCCAGTATCTGTAAAAGAATTTTCAGCTCGATTAAGCATAACATCTCAAAAAGCCGCGGACAAAAATTGAGGCGATTGTGATGCCAATATCTGATAGAAGACACCACCCGGAAACTTTTTCTCGACTCATGAAGATCTACCTCTCTGGAAAATTTCAAATTTTCCTGTTGAGTCATCCTTGAGAAATCCTCGAAAAGCGCACGGAGTGATAATCTGAATCTTATAAATGAATAGTCTAATCTTTGATAAAACAAATATGAGAACAACAAAGAATAAAACACAATGAACAAAAATTTCGTCTAGAGTTGTATTTTGATCTCGACATTAGTACAAACAGAATCATATTACAATTAATACTCACGATCTAAATAAAAATAAAATAATTGTAATTTCTATTAACTATAAATTTGTCTTATTGTTTCTATTAAAAAATAAATCTTTGTTTATTTTCTTGTTTCAATAGACATGGACAAGATTTCGTTGTGATTGTTCTAAAACAGGTTATAGTGGTGCTGTATGTCATATCAGTGATAATCCATTATCATGTCTTGATTATAAATTAAATCGTATGAAAATTGATGAAATAATTCCTGAACGTTTGACAATAATTGATATTGATGGTAGTGGTCCATTATCTCCATTTCCTGTTGTATGTCGTTATGGTGGTAAATCAGAAATTCTTAATGTAACAGAAATTGGTCATTATCATGAATTAGAAAGTTATGTATCAAGTGGTTATCAATTACCGAATTCAATTTATTCTCAAACAATAAATTATCGTGTACCATTACCACAAGTATTTGCTGTTGTTGATCGTTCATATGTATGTAAACAATATATTGAATATACATGTTTTAATTCACGTTTATTAAATTATCCGAATTCACCATTTGGTTGGTGGGTTGGTCGTACAAATCAAACAATGGATTATTGGGGTGGAAGTGAAATAGGAACAGGAAAATGCTCATGTGGATTAGACATGACATGTGCTAATCCAAATTTATTTTGTAATTGTGATTCACAATTCACAACTGAACTTAAAGATGCTGGATATTTAACAAGAAAAGAATTTTTACCTGTTCTTCGAGTTGAATTTGGGGATACAGGTATAAAAGGAGATTTTTGAAAAAAAGAATTATTTTTAAGATAATATTTTGAAGGACCAGCTGATTCACCACAATATGGTCGTTATCAAGTTGGTCGTCTGCAATGTGAAGGTGATCTACTTTATGATAATACAATAACATTTCGAAAAGCTGATGCAATTATAAGTGTACCACCATTTGAAGCTAAAGTAGCTGGTGATATACGTTTTCAATTTAAAACTGGTTTTGATTCAGCAACATTTGGCTCAGCTATTATTATACAAAATATTGGTTATGATGATGGAGATCTTATTGAAGTAATTATTTTTTTTTTTTGTAGATTGATTATTAAAAATCTTTTTTGTGCTAAGATTCGTCTTCAAGCACCACGTGAAATAGCTTTTCGATATAGTGTTGGTCGTGGTACAAATATTGTAACTATTCGTTCACCATATGATTTTAATGATAATGAATGGCATACAGTACAAGTAGAAATTAATCGACAAGAAGCACGTTTAACAGTTGACAGTTTATCAGCTGCTAATCCAGAAGATCAAACAACATTTCGTCATATACATTTAACGTCAAATTTAACTATTGGTGCATCTGTTACAAATCGAAATGGTTTTGTTGGATGTATACGTGCATTTCAAGTTAATGGAGAATTAATTGATTTAAAATCTCAAGCATTACGTGGAATGTATGGTATATCACCAGGATGTATTGGTAAATGTCAAAGTAATCCTTGTTTAAATGGTGGACGATGTAATGAACATTGGTCAACATATGATTGTGATTGTACATTTACACCATTTCGTGGACCAATTTGTTCAACAGAAATTGGAACACGATTAGAAGCAAATACGATGATTAAATATACTTTTCCAACTAAAGGTAAAAGAATGTTTCATAAAGTCTGATAGAAAAACAAAGGATACCTATCAATAAAAAGTGATAGGTAGAGATTAAGAAAAGTTTGTTTTCATTTTGATTGGATAAAATTTTTCCGAAATATTAACTGTAAAACATGATCAATGATTGTTTTGTTAACCATGAAGTCATTTTCTAAACAATATTTATGTTACTCTCATAGACAGTATATTTGATCAATAGAGTTCAACAGTACCAGGGTGTCAGATTGCTTTGGAGGATAGAAGAAGCTAAAAATTCGACAGAAAGTGCGATTACTCGTCTTTCTGACAGAGATCGAACAGAAGATACTGAATTTATCGACTTTCTATGATATTTCGTCTGACGAAGGAACCACCAGACGGACACCGACCGTTTGAGCTGAATTGGATTCATAGGCAGATCTCAGTGAGAATAGAAAAAACCTAAAAGGGTTCGTCTCCATTAGCCGTTTTCGACAAGTTATGACTGGTTTATTGGATTTTTTTATCCGTTTTTAGGTACTCCTCCGAAAGACTGAATAACAGTATTTAGATTCAAAATTTTGCCTATAAATAGATTTAATGACTCCGAGAATATCCTGAAAGTTTCAGTCGACAAGAATGTTCCTTCAGTGATATATTTAATTTTCAAGTGAACTCGGTTTTTGTGACAAAGAGTTATTTTTGGCAATTCAATCTCTTGACGAAGAAACGATTTTTTCAGCTGAAACTTTCAGAATATTCTAAGACTCATTAGACCTATCTATAGGCAAAATTTCAGATCTAAATTTAGTTATGTAAGTTTTTGGAAACTATCTATAAATGAATTGAAAATCTACTAAACCAATCATAACTCAGTGACAGAGAGACCCATCGGAAAGAACTTTTTTAGACTGTTATTAGCCTCACTAAGACCTACCTTTGGATCCAATATGAACTCAAACAGTGGACATCAATTAGGATAGTTTCCTCGTGAAAGAAAATGTCTTCGTATGAATATCTGTCAGAAACAAAACAGAACCCGCTTAAATTTCCTTTCTGTTACGATTTCCCACGTGACTGTAAAAATGATTTGCAAAAGGCTCGAAATTTTTGGACAGATTAAGCTTCTACCATGCTCTCCCTAATTGATAATCTTGAACATGATTATGAATCATTGAAGATTTTATCTATTAACTGACATTTTGAAATGAAAATTCAATAGAATATACAATTTATTTATGTTTTCTTCGTAGGTGTTACTGCTACTGAAGAAGAAACTATTCGTGTTTTATTTACAACATATAAAAAACAAGGTATATTAATGCAATTAAAGTCGAATAAAGCTGATGAAAAAGATATGATTGATTATTTTACTCTTGAAATGAATAATAATGGTGGTGTACGTGTGAAACTTAATTATGGGTTTGATACATTTGAATATAACGTTCCATATGATTTAACAAATGGACAAGATCATGAAATTATTGTAACACGTCGTGATTATGGTAAACGTATTATAATTAGTGTTGATAATTATGAACCATATATTGATACTTTTCGTCATACACAACAAATTGATATGCAATTTGATAGTCCACGTTTTATGTATATTGGAAGAAACGAAACAACACCACCTGAACAAGGTTTTAGTGGTTGTATTGCACGTTTACAATTTAATCGTATATTTCCATTAAAATACGCGTTTTTGGAAGAACGTGATCCACATATAACATGGACTGGTGGAAATATTCGGTAAGTTGAAATAAATAATAAGACGAACACATACAAATGTGTTTTTTTTCGTAATATTAGCGAATGGCCATGTGGTACCGAACCTGTGAAGTATCCACCTGAACCTGTAGAAATTCCACCTGATCGTGGATTTACAATACTTGGTTTGTTAATTTTCGTTTAATAATTAAATAATTATTTATATTTATCTTTTAGTATTACCTCGTCCAATTTATACACAAAATATCTATGCAAGAAATTTAGTTATTATTCTAAGCATAATGGGTTTTGTTTTAATATTTATTTTTATTGGTCTTAGTTTATGTTATCATAAAACACGTAAAAGTGGACATTATAAAACAAAAGAAGATCAAGGCGCTGATGAAGCTATTGATGCTGATACAGCAATTATTAGAGGTGATCCACGTCATCCGGATTTAACTGAAGCAAAAGAATGGTTTTTTTAAATTTCGTTTTTTTTTCTTGTTGTTGCAATCGCTCATTGATAATGAGCTTAATCATTTGCTCACAATCTGTACATATCCTAAATATGTTTTTTGTTGTTTTTGATATGTGCACTTATTTTTGTATATAGTCATTTATCTAGACATTCATTTTTTTGACTTTATTTGTTAATTCTTGTTTTTTCTGTTATGCATTTTTTTGTTTTGAAAGTTATAATGTTAGCATTCAATTTAATTGATATATGAAAAATAAAATAATAATTTTCTTGTTAATAAAAACGATGATGAATCTCGACGTAGTAACTTATTGTGTTTTTCTTTTAGTATTTTAGAAATGGTTTCAGTACTTGAGAATATTGATACCGTTAATGCTGATGATTCTGATGCACCAATTGAAGTAACAACGAGAACATCAAAGGTTGACAAGAAAAAGAAGAAAAAGAAAGCTAAGCGTCGCATTCAATATACACTTGCGATGGGAGAAGACAATGATCCAAATGATAAACGTTTAGATGAAGAATCTGCTCTTACACATTTAGTTTTTGGTGATGATGATGATTATCTTGATGAATTAACATCAAAATCTACAACAGATAAACAAGTATATCGAAATGCATCATATAAATGATTATATGAATTAAATTTCTATTCTTTATAGACTTCTACAATTAAAACAACAAAAGCAACAGTCGAATCGAAAAAACCAGCATGGGTCGATAGTGAAGAAGTAACTGAAGAAATGTTAGTGAATTTTTTTTGAAAAATTTACAAAAATTAAGATTTTCTTTTTAAATATTCAGTGTTCGTGAACCAAATTTCAATCAAATATGTCCGCGAAAACGTAGAAAAATCACCACAGGAGAATATGAAACAAAACTTAAATTCGAGTAAGTTTGCTTTTTAAATATTAATGTGTGACCGAAAAGTTTCTAGACAAGATGTATTCGTTAACTTTTGTGACTCGCTAGAGAGCATTTTCAACGAATCAAAAGCTTTAAGTTCGGATGCTTTTTTTCGAATATGGACTTAGAAATTTGATTTGAGAGTATTGAAATAATCGTTGAAAAGATCAAAAAAAATTTCTTTAGACAAAGCTTGAGCACCAACATTTCCGGTGTACATGCGCTTATTTATTTTTGTCTGCTTGAAAGAATTTTATGCGAGCAAAAACCTATAGGTAGCGAGCAGAATTTGAGTAGGGGCTTATAAATGTTGTGTCTATTTTTTTTTTGAAGAGTAATGAAAGACTTTTTGAAACACCTTGAAAATTATTTTAATGGTGAGCTAACTTTCTACAAAATATGATATTGAATTAAGCTGTAGCTTTGATCCCGGTGAGACTACAAGCATTTTTTCAAGAGTTCATTTTAACGTAAAACGATTGTCGATTTTTCAAATATGAATATTTAGAAAAAACGAAAATTGATATGACTTATGGAGAGACAAAAAATAAAGAACTTCAAATAGTATATATTGTAGAGTAAATTATAATCGACTAGCTGATGTATAAATAAAGATGCCATCTTTTACTTCTACATCGTAATTGTGAGAATATAAAAATCTTCCGTCTAAACTAATTTTGTCGGTTTTTTAAAAGATTGTTTCACTATTCTCGAACAAAATTCCTACGCCCATCTTCAAAAAGACCATCCTAAATCATCGTTTGTCACTCGTTAGAAATACTTTCCGATGGGTCATTAAAGTGAACAAACATCTTGTCTAAAAATTTTCCGATCGTCCGTTATCCAAATTAATTTTCTATTTTAGATATGAACGTGTTATGGGCCGACCTTCATGGGCAGAAAAATTATTAAACAAAAAAGCAGATGCAGGTAATCGATCAAGTTCAATTTCAAACATTAAAAGGAAAACAAAAAGAATTTAATTTGCTTTGAACAATTTGTTTTGTAAGATGATAGTGATGAAGAATTATTTCGCCGTACGGGAAATTATCTAACAAAATCAACTGTATTACGAGCTGGAACAATTGATTGTTTACGTTGTGCTGATTTTAAACATGATGTAGCTCATTCTGTATGTTTTATTTTTGTTAATATTTTATGATTCAATTATGTGATTTTTATTTTAGAAACTTTTAAGATCAGTCGAATTTCATCCAACAGCTCGAATACTTCTTACAGCTGGGCGAAGTCAGTATTTAAATTTATATGAAGTAAAAATAAATTAAAAAAAATAAATTTTCTAATCGATATAAAATATTGTTTATTTAGGTTGATGGAAAGAAAAATGAACGTATTCAATCACTTTTTTTTGATCGATTTTCAATTGATACAACACATTTTAGTCAAGATGGTAATCAAGTGATTGTTACCGGTGATCGAAATTTTTTTAAAGTTTATGATATGATCGAAGGAAAAATTATGCAAATACCCATGATGAGAGGTCAATAGATATAATATACTTATCAAATTATATAGATTTTAAATTCACATTAGGATTTGAAGAGCGTTTGGGAAAATTTGAATTAAGTCCTGATGGATCTTTAATTGTATTTATTAATCGAAATGGTCAATTACATTTTGTGTCTGCAAAAGTATATCAAATATGTTTTTTTTAGTTAATTTAAAATATCTTAAATATTTTATTTTAGTCAAAAGAATTAATCGATAGTACTCAACTATCAGGAAATATTAATAGTGTAACATTTCGACATGACAGTGAACTAATGTTTGCCTCCGGAGGTAAAAATTCTTTTCGTGTTTCTTTTTCAATTCCTAAAAACAGCACTATTGTCTTGATTATTTGTTAGATGAAGGCATTGTCACAGTTTTTGATATGCGCCGACGAGCAGCTATCCATCGTTTTGTTGATGATGGTAGTTATTCAACAACGAGTATGTGTGTTTCACCGAATCAACAATATTTTGTTACCGGGTACATAATTTCTTTCGACATCTATTTCATTTTTTTTGTGGAACACGATTTAAACGAAGTATTGAAGTACAGGATTAAAACTTTGAAGCTCCTTTTTCCCAGAGACTGTGACAAGCGTTGATGTACTATCCGTCGTAGCACCGAAAGCAACAATTTGGACGTTTGATGAGAAAATGTCAATGACATTTTTTTTTGGTGATTTGAATAATGTAGAATATACAGTAGCCAATGGTTGAGTTTTTCTTTTGTTGAAAACATTATTCTAGATCTTTAAGAGTTTGGCAAAATCTTAAGCCTAGAAAGTGACCAAGTGCCTGCCATCTTAGAGAAAAGTATTTTATTTTCCAAAGAAATCAGACAGATCTAAGGAATAAATCATGCTGATTCTGAAAGTGACGCTCTTGCTCTATTTTTCTGTACGAAAAACTTTGTTCTAACAGTTTCTTTGTTGAAGAAAAGTATGCATATATCTCAATTAAGGATTTTCTGAAAACACGAGCTCAGTGTATTTGGTACACATCTTTTTAGTATAGCTTCAAGCTTGATGAAATTTTCACAGTATGTTTTTCTCTGTCTGACACGTCTATTCGGCGCGTGTAAAGATGCGTAAATACTTCTGGACTGAGATACAGGTTTTCCAATAAAAAATCCTTCGTTTTTAAAGGTTTTCCGTATTCTTTTGTCTGGAATATACTTTGACAGAAAGATACGGACACATTTGAAATTTGCACAAAAAACTGAATTGAATGAAGTGTCATTGGTTAACTTCCAGAATAAAATTTTTTCCGATGAAAATTTAGGGAAAGGTCCCCTGACGCATTTTCTATCGTAAAGTGTTCTTTTACGAATGTCATTGTTTTCCCAACAATCTTTTTGGTGAGTACTAGAAATTAATATTTCTATGAAAACAATGCATTTTTGACAGAATATAACCTATATGCACATGCTCTATAGAAACTGTCCAGTGTGGACAGATCGTATATTGACATTATCTTGTTATAATCAATGAATTATTTTCTTGTGGCATTTCTCGAGGATCAAGTAAAAGGGTGATGAAGCAAACTGTCTCAGAATAGATAGAATAAAGCAATGTTTCTATGGTAACTAAATCGTGTTTCATATATTAGTCCCGCAGGGATTGTGCTAACAGCTTTTTATCATTAAATTCTACTGCTTTCAGTCAAAAGAGTGGCATTGTTAATGTTTATTCGTATAATGACATATTTAAAAATGGTGAACCGAAACCGATAAAATATTTGAAAAATTTAACAACACCAATACAAAATGTTAAGCTAAATTGTAGCTCAGAATTATTAGCTATCAATTCATATCATTTACCAAGAGCTGTTCGATTGGTAAGAGAAAAAAAACTTCAAACATTATTATACAAATAATTTATTTCTAAATTTTTTAGGTTCATATGCCTACATTAACTGTATATGAAAATTTTCCAGAATTTCATGATAAAAAAATTCAAATTGTTAATGCATTGAATTTTTCACCAAACAGTGGTTTTCTAACATTAGGCAACAATAATGGCAAAGTGCTTTTGTATCGACTTAAGCATTATAGTACTTATTAATGCTAATTATTATTATTATTGTTGTTTTGCTACTTGTTAAAATAAAAAAAGCACTCATGTTTATCGATATGTTTAACATTATCGAACATATCTTGATCAAAAAAGAAAATCTACATATGATCATTCTATCAAAACTATCACTCTCGCAACGATCGACAACTTTTCTTATGTATAGATTACTGTGAGCGAATATTAGAAAAATCTATTTATATAGTTATCTCTTAAATAAAATAGATTATTTAATGCTCTATATATCAATATTTGTAATATATGATGGTTATTATAATTCAGACATCAAGAGTGTTAAGAGTATTTGCTTGTAATTGCCTATAGCTGTTCTACACAACTACGGATTTATTAAGCGAAATGCTGTTTTTATTTTCTGCAGTTCGTAAACATGGCTTTTGTGCAATTTAAGAGAATAATTTATTTAAAAAAAGTAGATAAAGTAATTAAGTTGAAAAAGAAAAGCATATTTCAAATTTTTATTAAACTTCAAAAGACTTCTACGACTGAAACAAAATTTCAAAAACTTCACAAGACTTCTAAACTGAAGTTTCTACTGCGTCCTCCTCGCATTAAGTTCGTCAAAAATTGTAAAGGTTATTACAGTAAATGAACCCCTTAAGGTACTTCAATAAATAATAAGAACACGGCAGCGTCCTTTTCACCCGAAGTTTACGTAGAAAATAAATTGTTTGAAGACACGTCCTTTTTTTACATAGAAATAAATAATACCGTGAATATTTATCTATTCATGGCGAAGCTTTGAAAAAACCTAAAGAACATAGAATTCTTTTTATCAATATTATGATCGATCTAACCGTTTCCGTCATTTCACGTTTTGAATTATATTTATCAAAGAAATAGTGCAAATGGTTCTGAGTTAAGAATAATATTAGGCTAAACATTGAAATTGCTTTTCTTTCTATTATTTCAAATACACAATTGAAATTTTTAAATCTTGGTAATGATTTCGTTATATTTCAAGCAACTTCAGATTTCTCTTCTGTCAACAATGTGATGTTAGATCAATCATAGAAAATATCAATAGAAATGATCTCAAGACGGTCATCAAAGTCTCCGTGACGGCAAACAACAGTATTATATAATGTCGTTTCATACAGCTGGCGGTCGTCAATAGTTGTAAATTATCATTTGGTATGCGCAGTTTAGCGACCTTTTTTTTTATTGTACCATACATGTTTGATGACAGTCATCAAACGGTCTCAAAATCGAGTATACAACTGTTTACGTTCCGTTACAATACGGTATAACACAGTCGTCATACTATACTTACCGAATGGCGAAAAATCCATTTAAAACGACTTAGTAAAATAGTATTTATTTGACCTGAAACTGCTTATGTAATTAAAAAATCTTTCATATGAACAATGGATAGTCTTTTTTAATCAGTTTACAGAGTTTTTATCAATAGAAGAACGTGATCTCATTATTTTGATCCTTACAGTGCTTATAATTCATAATTATATTGGATACGTCATTAGTTTTTGAAATGCTCGATCATTTTGACACATAATAAATATATAAAATTTGTTGAAAATATGAGAAGAACTATTTGATGGATCATGACAGTTCGTGACAAAAATTAATGTTAATAATATTAAATGTGATGTGGAATCCAACAGAAATAAAATTTGATTACTAATGTACACTGTTAGATCAATATAATGCATATGGAATGTTGCAAAGATTTTCTAAAAGTTTTCTCACTTCCGAGAAATTTTTAAGTTACAAAGAAAAAGAGGAAAATCATGGTGAAGCACACTTTGATAAAGAAAAACTAGATATAATTACTTTTGAAAAAACATGATGTTAACCACCGAGCATTTTGAAAACTCATTTATCAACTTCTTTTTCTTTCAGAAGCAGTAGCGGAAATTCTCAATAATTATTTGCATCGATGAGGATGGAGAAAAGTCACCCGATCCGCTTACACTGTCATGCATATTTAACAGATTTGTATGAAGTTTCAAACACTTGCATGGCATTGAATGATAGAATTGTGGTATAAGTTAACATTGATTAATCTATTTAAATATTTTAGTAACAAATCTATTTGCATTTATTGCGCTCGAATAATCATACGAATAGATCTTAATGACACCAAGTAAAAATTCAAAGGATTTGATGTATAAGTAGTTTCATGTAGAAAGGATAGTTTTTTTTTCTTGTTATTCTGCGGGATTATATTCGTACAGGTGTCGACATTTTGATTGACAACTTTCAAATAAGAGGCTTTGAGAAAATCTTTAACGCTGTGACATCGGAAACGCTTTTCAACAAAAATAAACATGTGACTATCTTGCTAAGTCATATTATATGTCATTACTCTAGAAAATGATTGGTTTTATCAATGTTTTTCTTTTATTAATAAAACCGATAGATTTTCCTTCCATATTGAAATGGATATGGTTGTAGCACAAATGACGTAATTGGTGTTACTGAATGAGATACAACGATTAATGTATGACTCTCATCATAGAACATAATAGATAGTATAGAATAGTAATCGTTCAAGTTAAATTTATAAAATGAAAAATTTTTCAGACTTTTTATCCAAATACGTTTTTCTTTTTTTACACTTTTCACATGTTCAATTATATAACATGTTCATAAACATCTAAGATATGAATTAAAATCAAACTATGATATGTTTTTATTCTATTTTGTCATTCCATAGTCGTGAATTGGATCAAATAATATTCTAGTGACATAAGTTTTTATATAGAATGCAAAGTCTTTTATTTTTTATTTTATATTAAATGTCATTATATTTACTATTGTAGTCTATTTAACATATTTCAATAGAACAATTATAAAATACTTCATTGCACAGATATGAAAAAGTTGTCTCATAAATAATTCATTTTATTTTAGTCGATTAGTGTAAAGAACTAGAATTTATAATTTAATCAGAATACATAAATTAAATATTTTTTTTGATTACATCCTTATCATTAAAACAGACTGTTCTATACATGAGAAACAGTTTAAACTATGACATGGAATAATAGTCAAAAGACTCAGACATTATGATGCATAAAAATGATCCAATTTGAAGACAAACATATTTCTTGTTATTTCATTGATTTAGCTTTACTTTTGAAAATTGAATCAATAATAAACAAAAAAATTTCTTTCTATATGTATTGCTGCTAAAATGATTGAATATTAAATAAAAACAGAATAGAAACTAATCTACATATATTCAGTGAGGCAAGAAAAATCATAAGCTAAATTAAATGTTTCATTAGACAAAAATGCATCCTTCCCTTTTCTTTTTTATGTCATGCGAATATAGAGAAAAAAATTACAGACTAAATAAGTATCAGGTTCTAGGTCTCGGAAAATTATTATTTTGTTATTCACCTAAAGGCCAAGAAAGACTAGTTGGCTACAATTTATATATATATATTTCAAAAGTATTCATGTCTATTTTCAAACGAGAACGCAGGTAAATTCACATATGAATACACAATAACCTTTTCCCATGAATATAGAAGCCATCTTTAAAATTCGATGTGCATGACTGTGAAAAGCTAATTTCTATAGTAGGTAAAAGTTTTCTTGTTTCACTTTCATATATTGAAAACAAATTGAGAAAAATTAATGCATATAATTAGACGGGTCCAACGATTTCTTTAAATTGAAAACATAGAATATATGTAGTCGGTTGGTAGATTTAATGAGACACTCAACATTTTATGAGCACTGAGAATAGTTCAACCGAAAATACTATGTTCTTTGCATTTATGTCAATGTATGTAATGAGTGAACGGAGTTAACATTTTTATAAAATGTCGTATTTCTTAAAGCTTTATCAAATTATTAGACAAATGTTCTTTTTTGCGCAGACATCATTTCTAAAACCTTCAGTTCTTTTTCACAATACAATACTTTTTTCAAATTCTTCATTTATAAAAACTAAATTACTAGCATCTACCTCTATTGTATTTCATAAAGAATTATATATATATATCAAATAATTAATTTTATAAATCTGTTTTTATTATGTTTCTTATTAAATCGTTTTTCCTATTTGTCAAACAATAAAAATTTTATTCGTTTCTCTTCTCGGTTTTTTTTTTGAACTGTACATGGAACAGAATCATTTATAATAGTAAGTTATGGCCGACATAGACAGATATCCTACTGTTGTATATTACAGAGAAGAGCAAGAGAGAGAGAGATGCTGAGACGAAAACAACAAATCGTGTTGTCATGCTAATTATGCAATTGACTGAGTTACACATTCATTTCTAGGTATTTTTTGTTATCCTCAAGGACAATGTGTAGGAAACTTTATCATTACTCTGTTGAAAGATAGCGTCTGTTGGTTTTCTGTCTGTATATCTATCTAATTCTAAAAACAGGTCTTTTAATAGATAACATGCTTGTTGATATCCAGATTGAATTGAGTAAGGTCGATAGATTTTTATCCAGAATAGACAGAATTATAAAACTATCCCATATTTTTTTCAGCACATTTCTTGAATGTAATACAGAAAAAAAACTCAATTTATTTTTATTCATTTTTAAATGTGATTTATAATACATTTCCATAATACTCGATATATTTTTTTCTCGTGTGTATGAGATGCTGGAAAGCAAAAAAATATGATGAACAATTGGCATCAGAACTTTCTATCTATTTTTTCTCTTTTCTGTCTGTCATCGTTATTTTTTTTCTTTTCAAGTAGATGCTAAAAATGGATACTCATGCACGACTCTCTTATTGTCGTTGAAAATGACCTAAGAGTCCATTAAACATCAAAGATTAAATGCGATACTTTCACTTGCTTTTGATGACATTTCTAACGTCACTAAAATGAAGACATCTATTTTATTATATAAAGGCAGCCAATACAAATTCGCTATTTTAATTGAAAGCGCTAATATGATATTGTAATGCACCAGTTAAGAAATTGAATATTTTTTAAACTGAGTTAAGATTATATTTAATCGATCAAAAAGTAAGTAATTGATTTTATTGAGTTCTTTAGGATTGTAGGTGCTTTTAAGTTTTTCTTTTTCTTCTTCGCGTATAAGATATAAATAGTTTATGATATTCTTCCGATCATTTCGCATTAAATTTTTATAGCTTGTGAGAAAAAAAATGAAGAGATTATAGCTAAATATAATGTGACATAATTTGAAGTCGGATTAAGGATACATTATTGAAAAGAAGAAAATAGATGTGCTAGACGAGCAATTAGAACTTTATGGCTTCTACTGTTACACAATATCCATAATTAATTTTTGTTTTTGTGCTATATTAATTTTATAAGTAGAATTTCTTTATCTCAAATATAACTACTTGAGAAGAAGATTTTCATTTTATGAATAGCAAACATAATAATATTTTAACTACCTTAATTGTTTTCAATTAGCCTGCATTTTTCTTTATTTTTGTTTCCGAAAAATCTTGTTTGATTTATTTCATTTTGTACATCGTAATGTGGTCTTTGACTGATGTAACTAATTTTTTTACGAATATAATAAAAGCTGGATACTGGAAAAGTACAAAAACAAACAGATTACCGAAGATAATGAGAGAACGATGAAGACTGGGTAGTTCTATATACAATAGCTATACTTAAATATCAATGAAAGGAAAAAGAATATTTTTCCGATGTCCTTCGATAGTTAAATACATATATATATAGATATAGATAATTAGATAATAATGTTTTCTAGCTTAGTATGTTTTTCTCTCTATTGAATTAGCAGTGCCCAAGTAATATCGTCGTAGACTTTATATCATTAAGGTAAAAATAATCAGTAATGATTAACATGAAACTCTTATGTTTAATTTAGATCCGTCTAATTGGTAATTTATAGTTATTATGATTAAATAGATGTATTATAAATTTCAAACTTGTATTCAATTTAATAATAATATTATTCGAATGATTTCACGAGAAACTAAACAATACTAATCATAACATTAATTATTATTCTTCATGCAAATCTATATATAGATATAGATAGATAGATAGATAGATAGATAGATACTTCATGGCAGTGATGATTCTATCGATTAATCGTATTCCATTATAATTATATTTCGGTTCTATTAAAAATATCATATGTAATATAGACTTACTAAGAGCACTTATTATCCATCTCATAGGTAATTAAATCTTCAACATTGATAGAATTATATATTTTAATTGGATACACTTATATGAAGAAAGATAGATATAATAAGAAATTGTTTTTTAAATTCGTAGAAAACTAATGAATTTATTTTTCCTATTTCTACTCTTAAGAAATCATATATTCCAGCTGCATTATGAACGCATGAACACTTACTAATGTCGTTCTCGTTATGTATTCGTTCTCGCTTCCTGTTTGCTGCCACATGTAATCTTCAAAATAGTGCCACTTTTTATAGTTAAATTCACCAATACAATAAGTCATAACAAGCATATTTTAGCCTTTTATTAAATACGGTTCATATATTTTTAATATGTCTTTGCTTAATTTTTCTGACTTAGTTAAGATCATCCTTCTGTTTAACTAAAAGTTCGTAGTAAATTATTTGTTTCATTCTTTGTATCTATGAATTCTTCAACTACTGAATCATGTGCTGTTTAATCATAAAAGTAGGAAATGTGTTTTCTTTCAACAACAGTTACTTATCAATGTATTATAAAAGATTAGCTTTAGAAAAATTTAGTTTTCAATAGCGTGTCTTCTTAATTGCGGACAAAAATCAAAACAATTAGAAGACCGACAGTGTGGGTGAGGGCTGAAATTTTGTCCGCAATCAAGCTGTAGCCTTTCACTACATCTTGCACATGAAACAATTCAGTTTTTTTTTTTCGATGATATCATATAAACACATGATAAATATTTAAATTAAGATATATATGACTTTCTGCTTTAATGATCCGTATATTGTAAATATCTATTTATTTTCTCAATGCATAATTTATATTTTTTAATGCCATATAGAAGAAGAAAATCAATATCTTTCTTTAACTAATCAACATATGAATATAGATGAGTTGTCCACTTGCATTTTATCGTAAATAATCAAACCCTCTCTCTTCATTCTTATCAAAGACAATTAGATGTGAAAGTCAATCACATATTTATAATCTTTATAAAAACAACATCTCTCTAGAGTAAGTATTGTAAATAACCAATCTCAGCTGAATCTTAGACGATGCACAGAGATTTCTCGTTTTCTTCGAGCTCAGTTTCCGGAGTTAATTTCTGGCTTGATTTTGTAATTGTCAAAATGAATAGATAAACATAGAACCTCTATTGGTTCTCTGGAGTTTTTACATGACAAAAACAAGGAAGTGTACTGAGAATATTTTTAGCAAATATTCAAACATAAAGAAAAGATCGCAATTCGATGCACTCACTTATATTTTATTATACTGACGGGCATTTGATAGACTTTTTATTCGTACGATATAATTATGGATGTAGTCACGAAATGCGTCACGTTAGGTTAATAAAGATCACTCATTTGTAAAAAAAGATAAACAAATTTTCGATTAAATGATATTTTTATTTTTATTCTTATTAATGAATTTCTAATGATTATTCCGCTGTGGGATACTTTCTTTTACATTACTGATGAAAGACTAATTCCTTTTCCTTGTAAAAATATTTCCTTTCGTAGTTCATATATCTGCCTGTAAATCACATTTTTTTTAGTTTAGTTGTTTATTTCTTTTCCTCTTTTTTTTCCCTATTTTTCTCTGCTCTCATAATAACACTTACAAGAACTCTTTTCATTGAAGTATGTTTACAGTAAGTAAAAAAAGAAAAAAACTATAATAAGAATGAAAGTAGAATAAAGACTAGTAGAGAGAGAATCACAATCCTAACAAAAGAAATCAATAGTGTCAGCATAAATAATGAGTAGTATATTGTTATTGAGTTCTGCAAAACAGGAAATCTTGCTTGACACGTGTACTTTCTCTGATCATCGTTCAACTTCAATTACTGTTATAGTACATTTGATAAAAATACCTTTTTGTCCTTCATTTATTCATGCAAGAATTTTTTATTGATAAGTTTCATAAACAATGGTGACATATCAAGAAAAAAAAAGAAGAAATAAGTAACATAGATTAAGCAAAAGAACTCTTGAGAAGAACTTTGAATTTGAATTATCTATTATGATCTATATTGATCTATCATTTAGATGAATTACTAATTAATAAAAATAGCAAATGGCGACACTGATCAATATTGGTCTTACAACTTATTTTACATTGGTAGCAATAATCGGAACCCTTGGTAATGGTGTTATTTTATTAGCATATGGAAATCGTTGGAATTCATCGAAATCAACATCAGTTATATTCATACTTATTCTTGCTTGTATAGATTTGTGGACATGTTTAATTGTTGTACCAACCATTGCCATAATGGAATATCGTGATTTTGATGTACCAACACCAATATGTCGCTTTTATTCTTTTTCGAAAAATCTTATTATTATATCATCGTTTATTATGTCCTTTATTGCTTTTGATCGATTTTTAAATATTGCTTTACCACATCATCGATTACTTAATCCACAACGAGTTAAAGTAAGTAAAAAAAGTGACTAGAGTTTTAAGATGAGAAAATTTACTATGAAAAAAAAAAGAAATAATAATAATGCATATAGTAATTGTTATAATATTAACACTGAATTTAACAAATCTCATGTTCTGATGAGTTTTTTTTCAAACATGATATGATGATAGTGAATATATAGTTTTAAATTTTATTTACAGATGCATTTAGAATAAGATTCAATATGTTTATTAGATTATCGTTGTTTTACGCAATTTTTATGATCGTAAGCAAAAACATCTCTACTTTATCTAATGGTGTTTTACATTATCATTATTAAAATTTTGCATCAACTGAAGAAGAAGATATTCGTAATTTTTTTTAACGGATGTATTCGGATAATAGTTGTCGGCAATAATTGAGTATTACTAAGTAAATCGTTTTCTGTCTAGATTGTAATATGATACTATTTCATTATATTTATTATAGTTTGACGTATCCTTCCTCACATCTTCGATACTTGTTATTTCGCTCACATTTTTCCTGTTATTACCCATAGTGCTTTTGCTTTAAGTTTCAACATGAATTTTTTCTTTATCATTAATGATTTTACTCTATCATTGCATCCTGAAATAGCAACATTTTAATGGATGAGAAATAAGAAGATTTAAGAAAATAAAGTTTTATTTAAACTTGAACTAATGATTTTATTAATGATTTTCAATATAATGACAATTTTTTATCTATGTCTTTCCATAATGTTATCTAATCATAGATAGCCTATAATTTTATTATATATTTTGTTTAGAAAACAAACATCTTAAGATTAACGATGATAGACAATTTGTCATCAAATCAATAGTTTCTAATATGACAGCTAGAATATTTTTGTTCTTTGGACCTATGATATGTTCTTCTGTTTATATCATGTGCATGATATTCACAAATTTGTCTAAATTGTTTTTTCTTGGTAATAATTTGAAATCGAAATATCCAGTTACCAGATTTTTTCAATAAGTTAATATATGTGCATATATTACACTTTCACAGTCTATGTCGTGTCTAGTTTTATTATATTCTCGTCAAGTGTTTTAAGTATATAAAATAATTAGTGAAACGATTTCATTCTATGAAAGTCAAGATTGATGAATATCTATTATGCAGAAAAATGGAAATGAGAGAGGAAATAGTAACTATATATAATAAGCAAAAATGAATTGAACTAGTAAAACCATTAATAAAATGTGAGCTCTAAAAAGTATTAGACGTTATAATCTGTAAAATAATACGTCAATTTATAAAATTTAGAATTTAAATAAGAAAAATAGTACTTTTCACAGTAACAGATGTGTCCTTTGAATGCATGCATACATTTCTATTCGTAATATGCGTACTTATTGAAATATTCTTTTTTTCTTTACATCAGGATATTGTTGTACTCAAACTGTCAGATTTTTTAAATTCCAGTTAAATTTTTCTCCTTCTCTATTAAGTTTTATTTTGACTTTCATTCTGACCCGTTTTAAATATCTATTACGTAACAATGACATAAGATTTCTTTTTTTTTTTTGAAAATTATTCACACAACACATTTAAAATAAGTAGGCTTTGCATTTATCTGTTTTACAATAATATTCTAGGTTTTTTTCTTTTATTTTTACATATTTCCTTGTTATTTTGTTTAGCTTGGAAAGTATTTGCCATATAATTAGTAAAAGAGATCTGGAGCATTTCTTAATAATACTTTATTAAGGCTCAGAATAGTATTGAAAACTTTGTTTTGATGTTCATTAAGTTAGCAGTTTTTATTTAAGAATCCGAAAGAAATTAATGAGATTCTTTTGAACTTTTACGATTTGTCTGACAGATTTGGTATTTTGTGCGTACTATATTAGAGCTCTAAACAGGTCACGTTTTGAAGACATGTACGACCTGTCAACTTTCTCAACCGAATACAACAATCATAAGAGATTAAAAACCAGGGGTTCAGACAGAGCACTAGGACTATCGGCCTCCCTGGACCTGACCTACCTGTCACAGACACAGATCACGATTTTCAGACCGATGTAAGTGACAGGCCCAGAAAAGCCCAGACAGGCCGACAGGCCTAGTCGCCTATTTGGACCTCTGCACTACATCATACTTATACTTGTTCGTGCTGTCTAACATTTTATGAACTTCTACATTGTCAATATTATTCGGGAATGTTTTATTGTTCGATTTATACATAGCATCAGATTCTAACTTTTCTGACTTCCTCTTTTTGTTTCGAAATCGTGCTGATTCCGTTTAAGACTAGAGGAATAAGCCGGTATTTTTTTAAAATTTTTGGTATATTTTTGACAGAGCATCAAAGATCAATGGTGCACAATCTAAACTTGTGTGCAAACACACGTTTGAGGAAATTTAAAAAAAAAACTATTGCATTTGGAGAAGATTCTTGACAAACTATTGCTTTTGGAGGCAATTTTAGTTACTATCGATTTCGTGATGAGTATTCAAATTATTCTCTGTACGAGGCAATTTCCACTTTTTGTGAGAGATTCTGCAGCTCTGATCAAAAAGTTCCAAAAAAGTCAGAACTATTCGACAAGACTAGAATGAATTAGAGTGATGTCAAAGAACAAATTAAAAAGTCAAGACTACTGCAAATACAGTATATATATATAAGATCCTATCTAGTATATAACTTTGTTTTCGAGGTATCTTAATTATTGTCATAAGATGTCCTTGGTTAAAAAAGAACGTAACCTCTATAAGAAGTCTTTTCACAAAGAAAGAGTTTATTGTTCTATGCTTATAAATATAACTCATCATATTTCTCTTTTAATGTCACTAGTAGTAGATAGTTGTTGTTATCTATTAATTTGTATTTTGAAAATAATTATGAGTAGAAAAATATCTATATAATGATTTAGCATCTTATCAATAAAAATATCCATATCTATTTGTTAATTAGTAATTGATTTCATCAACACATACAACGAGTACTTTGATATTCACTAATTAGATTCATAACAACTACAGTCGTATCATTACGACTTTTCTGTTTATAATATCTCAAATAGCTATGCAGCATTTCTTAAGCAAACAATTCCTTACATATCAACGTTCATTATTATAACGCAAATACCATTGAAATTCTTTTTACTCGATTATAAACAATATTGAACTTATATATAAGCATTGATATATAAATGTTTCGAATAAAAAAACATTGCACTAAGATTAGAAGTTATATTACTAGTTTACTCACAGATTCGTCTCCACTTTCACTGCTGTGCTTACGATGTTTCTTTAAAATTAGGAACGAATCATAAAGCCACCATATGAGCAACTGTTTTAATTTTGATCATTTGATAATAAATATTTTCTTTGTCTGTTCAGAATACGGTCAAATTCCCTTAAGCACAACGGATAAAAATATATTATTATGATGAGTTATTAAAATTGAAATCAACACATCTAGACTTTTGAAATTAATAAATCTCTGTAATTAATTGGAGTAAGTAACTGTTTTTTTATAAAAATGCTTCACCTTCAAGAACGGAAACAAAATCTAAGTGTTGTATTTAAATGATCTATGGCGTCTAATTTAAATCGATCGTCAGGGCCAACATTAGTAAATATTTTTCTATCACCTCGACTAAATGTCAATAGTAATAAGGCATAACAATTATTTATTATACGTTTCTGTTTGTTCTCTTGAGTTATCTTAATTGTCAAGGTCATTCTAATCTTTGGACGTCTTGAAGATAAAATTGACATAAATTTTCTTCGTGAATACAGATTTGAAAATATTTTCAATTAAAAAATCTTCATTCAGAATGTTAATCTCGTGACAAAAGAAATTAACTCCTACGGACTTATTTTTAATTAATTTCTAAAGATTTCTTTTGAAAAAATCTAATGAAAAACATAATTTGTTAATTATGAGATTAAAACAAAAAAAGTATTATACAAAATTTTTTTAGGTTTTGCTAACATTATTTATCTCAATTGGTATTGGACTTGGTACATTAACTGCATTAGCATTTTCAACTCAACCAAATAAAAAAAATTACCTTGCTAATTATGATTTTATTGAAGCAAATGGATCATATGTAACAAATAATCAAAAAGAAATTTCTTTAGATGTTGATCAAAATTCATCATTTTCACCAAATATGATTAATTCAATTAATGAACACCTTTCTATTAGTGATGGTGCTAATTTAACAAATTTTACTTTACAATATAAATCAACAACTCTACGATGTTTTGCTGATACATCGATTATATCTGAAAACTTACGAGATTTATTAAAACATGTATCAAATAAAGTTTTTTTTACTTTAATTGGTATAGTTACAATTTTTTATACAATTACATTTGTACTTGCTTTACATCGACAAAATCCTCGTATACGTGCATTAAAAAGAAGTTTAAATGTTTTAAATAAATTTGATTCATATCCATCAACCAGATCTAATGAACGAGCAACTGATTCTATTGTTTCAGTTGAACCTCCATTATATTCATCAGGAACAATGGCAACAACAACAACAGCCGTATCATCAAAACAAGCGACAATCATACTAAATAAATTTAATCATTCTGATGATAACTTATTATCAAAACAAACATTAAATAAAGCTGGTAGTATTACTGATGAAAAACAGTATGAAATGTCAAATTTTATTAATAATGATGATAGTGATGATCAAAATAATTCGTCACCACTTTTATTAAGAAAAACAGTAAAACATGAAGATAAAACACAGCAAGACCATCATATAAGTATATCAGATGGTATATCAGATGATTTACAACCATCAACAGAAAAAATACATGGTACTAAACAAGTATCATTTCGAATCGATAGTCATCGTAATACATTAAATAATGAACCAAATCAACATTATTCAACATCATCTAGTTTTTTTAATGGTGATGTAAATGTTAATAATGATATGTACTATAAATTACCATGCCCATGTTCAACAACATGCCAATTATTAATTAAATTTCATTTTGCACGACCATCGTCACAATTAAATCGATGGCTATGCTTTTGTTGTATAAAAAATAAATCATCATCGAATCATCATTCATCAATTGGAAATCAAACTCAAGACGAAACAACAAAAGTATTAACATCATCTATACAAGGTAATCGTACAACAGCATCAAATAGTGAAACGTTACGAAAACAATTACATCAACATCGTTTAAAACAAATACGCATGGCATCAACATTTTTAATTATAACAGTATCATTTGTTCTTTTTTATTTACCATCAATTTTAAATGCTGAACGAATTATAAAAAGTCATATTATGGTTTATTATTTGTATTTATGTACACATGCATTAAATCCAGTTATTTATTGTTTTATGAATCCAAATTTACGTGCATATGTTATGTCAATGTTTCATTGTCGCACGAGACAAAAAGAACGAAATATTGGTAAAAGAAGAACATCAATATTTGAACGATGAAAATTTGTAACAAAAATAATTTGTAACAATAATAATTTTTTGTATTCTTGCATATTCTATTCTTAGTTGTTGTGTATGTGATATTGTGTAAAAGAGAATATTTTCCACAATGACGAAAAAAAAAATACATATGAGATGTTCTTATCTATTAGTCAAAATAACAGACATTTGATGTCAATCATTGGATGAAAAACATGGAATATATAGTTGAAGCAAATATAAATAAGCAATACCTGCTATGAGACTCATATCTAATCTAATTCAATGACTTCTAACTTGGAAGTATTCCAAATATCTAGATGTTTGTTTTTAAAATATATCTGAATAATTTTATTTAACGACAAATTTTTCTATATGTTCGGCTGAATTTAGAGGGTAGAACAAAATGATAGACCCTCCTGTGCTATACACAAAACAGCTAATAGTGTATTTTGGAAAGAGATCTAATCGTTGAATCCATATGTTTTCTAGATACATGAATCTGTGTGGCACACAGACATGTCTGTGTATCACATAAATTCATCTATCTAGAAAACATAAATTAAACGATTAGATCTCTTTCCAAAATGCAATATTAGCTGTTTTGTGCATAGCGCAGGAGGGTCTATAATTTTGTTATACCCTGTATATGTGACAGGAAAAATTAAAATTTAAAGCATTTTAAAATTTTCGCTTCCACACACATACAGAACAATATCGAAATATCTGCAAAAATCTTTAATAATTGAATTCGATTTTTAGCTAAACAAAACGATCTGATGTTTTCTTAGATACATAGATTTTTTGAGTCAAATATCTGATGTTGGAGATGGAGATCCTATTAATTTTTTGTTTAGATCCAACTAATTAGTAGGCCATTAATAATCATATCAATTATTTAAAAAATGATATAAGAGAAACTTGAACGATATTTTTTATTATAATTACTTATATGAGATAAGAAAATTGTTGGTTTTATTTGAAAAATTTCTTATATATGCATTGGGTACCAAATTTATTTAATAAATTTTCTTTTCAAACTTTTTTTGTGTTACTGTAAGCGCTAGAAAGAAACCAAATAGTGATGCGAATAAAGAAAATTGCTTCCAACAAGAATATAAGGAAATAAAAAATAGTATCAAAGTTCCAAAGATAAGAACCTAAGAAAATCAAAACTTTAATTTTTCAGCGCATACAATGGATAAGTATAATTTTGTTAAGATTACACAGAACGATGGAGCAAATAGTTGTCTACACAATAAAATGCCTCTGAGTTTTCTGCAGCATTTTTTGACCGAGATACATTAATTTTATGAAGCCTTCAAAAATGCTTTTTTTACTATCTCCTAGAGGGAAGCAATTCTTTTAGCTTTTAATTAAGTTGCTGTATCTCACGAGGGAACCATCCGAGGTGTCAAAAAGCTTTTCAGTCGGGGATATGATGGTTAGATCGGACATAGCTAGGAGTGATATACCCTAAGTTAGTTCGGGCCCAAGTTGCTTCTAGCAGGAGTTATGAAATGTGAAATTTAGGTATAAAAATGAATCAGG